GAGCCAGAGACTGGGCATTGAACTTCCTGCAGAGACTCCCTTCCTGTCCTTGACATGGCTTGTCAGCAGAACGCCGCCTGAGTATCAGGGAGATGGCCTCTTCCTCCCTCTCCTCCCTTCAGCCTTGTAAATCTATCTCCAGCATGTCTAATTGATGGGCTCTAATCTGTATCCAGAACCCCAGCTGCAAGGTAATGTAGCATTTAACTTTCCAGCTTCTGCAAGATAGGAAGGCACAGAGGTGGGAATGGATGCTGAGGGCATCAACTGTGTCCCACATGCAACCTGATAGGTTTAACCCAGTCGACACCTGAAGAGACTTGGCACAGGGCCTGGCACATAGAACTCACTCAATAAGTGTTAGCTGTTATTCTTATTCTTGGGCTGAGGCACCAGCAAGAATTGCCTGGCCCTGCCCACGAGCCCTGGCAGAGAGCAGCAGAAGCGGAAATGCCTTTGCCCAGCATGGTGCTGTCCATGGTACTGAGAGCCCTGCTGGACCCAGCCCGGAGCGATGGTATCATTGCCCTGCTTACATCATGGGCCCAATGGCAAGGTGGAACTCCAATCCTCTTACCACGTGCTGAGGCTTCAGGAGCCACTGTGGCGGAGGGGACGTTTGGGGACCTCTAAGGGAAGGCTGGCTTCGATCCTATGAAGAGGACAGCAAAAGCAACAACTTATGTTTGTGGCACAGTTTACAGAAAGAGTCTCCATGCACTATCTCCTTTAACTAACCCTCATAACCACCCTGGTATATGCAGGACAGATATGATCTTCAAGAAAAAAACTGAATAGCAAGAGGTCAAATAGCAGCTGCTAAACAGTAGAGCCAGATTCACACCCAGTCTCCTTACCTGCAGCTGTATGCTCTTTCCGCTCCCTGCAGTGACTTGGGGAGGGAAACTTGGTAACCAATGTGCGCTATGTGGGGGCAAAAATTTGGGACTCATGTACTCTGTGCACTGTGCAAATGTGTGCAAACCACCTACATTTTATTCTTTCCTACCCCTGAGTGTGTCTCTGGGTAAAGGGCCTTCTGTCTCATTGAGGCCGACTATGTGATGGTCTTTGGGAGAACCATGGAAAATATAAGAGAAAGACATGGTCCTACTATCAAAGAGCCCATGGGTTTGTTGGGGAGCTGGCTGCTCATGTGCGTGGAAAAGTGAGAGGATAGTCCCAGGCAGTGGTTGCAAGGCCAGCTGTGTGAAGAGGGTGGGAACAAGGTGCAGACAGGGCTGGTCATCTGAAAGAAGGTTCAGAGGAGTAGAATATAAGCTGGACTCAGGGGCTTTAAATGCTGATGAGACCAAGGCTCACCAAAGTCCAGGAAGAAGTGCCTCAAGCTGTGTAGGGGTGGGGCAAGCAACTCTGAATAAGGGGGCTGGTGGGGCAGAACAGAGAGTACCCTGAGGAAGTAGCCAGGCCAGTGGCCTCTGGGGTAACGGGAGGAATACCAGAGCCTGGAACTTCCAGTGAAGAGGTGGTGTGGGCCTCTGGAGATTTTCAGCCAACTCTCCACAGATTTGCGACCAGCTTGGGGAGGGGGAAGAGATTGCATGGGAGGAGAATATAAGGACCAGCCTCATGAACTGCCACGCTGTGACATGGTTTAAGAGGCAGTGAGGTATCATCCTTTACCCCCACATCTCCCCACCCTCTCTCCTTATTTAGGAAGAGTGAGAAAACTTTTGGGGTCATCAAGAACTCCTTCTCTAGGTGCAAATAACCCTGGAAATCTCAGTCTGGTGCTTTTATGTCTTGGCTGCACACAATAATTGACTGGAGATCCTCATGCTTAATGTCTGGGGTGGAACATGAGTATCTAGATTTACTAAACACCTTCTAGGTGATTCCAGTGACCTCCTCCCAGGCTAAGGAGTCACTGAAAGCAGTGAGTGGGGAGCCAAAAACCCCAGTTCTATCCCCAATCCACCATTTTCCCCAGCCTTAAGCAAATCTCCATGTCTGCTGGAGACTCAATTTCTCCATGTGTAAAGCTGAGCAAACCACTCTTCGTCGTGAAGATTTGAGGAGTTTGAGGATGGTATGGAGCAGGGAAGGGCTTACTGATATTTAGGGAAAGATTTATGGCCAGTGGACATGTCAGTGGTAAAGGATGTGAACCAGAGCCCTTCATTCCAGTGACACACCCTCCCTCTCTCCACACCTCCTCCAATAGTACCCAGCCCCCTAGCTGTGAGAGTGAACCTCGCTGAGAGGGGGGCCCTCAGTGAGAAGGGGCAAGAGGTGATGGGGGCAGGACAGGAGACCTGGAGAAGAAGGAAGAAGGGGAGGTGGGAGGTGATGCCCAGGACCAGGAATCCCAGCTTGTTTGTTTAAGTCCAGAACCATGGGAGATAATCTTACCTGTTGTTTACAAAAAGGTGATTAATTATTGAAACTACTGGGAAGGCTAAATGGTAAGAGGGCAGGGCAGGAGCTGTGGCTTTGTGCACTCTGGGGGTCATGGGGTCAGGGGAGAAGGTGGGGGTGGCTCCCCATCCGTAGCATCTTTTCCTAGGACATGGCTTGTGGCTATAGTGATTCTCTAATCCAAACCAAAACACATGCCCTATGGACCAGTTCCTGAGAACTCATGGGGATGGTGGAGCAGACTGGGCCCTGGGCTGTGCTGGGAAATGCAGGCTTAGTGGCTGCAGATCCAGCCTGGGTTCCTGGCTCAGCCCACTCTGCTCTCCGCTGCATCACCCTAAAGGCTAGGGAAGCTGCTGTCCCTGGACTAAAGTCTGAGCAAGGTCATCCCCTTCCTCTGCCCCCTGCTCAGCATGTCCAGAGCAGCAGAGGCTCAGGGCCAGCAAAGCAGAGGGTTACAAATGGTCTGGCTTCAGGGCCAGCTCTGCCACTCACTAGCACTGTGACCTCGGGCCAGTTAACCTCTCTGGGCCATGACCTTGAGCCAGTTGTTTAACCTCTCTGGGCCTTAATTTTATCTTGCCTTTAGGGATGATTCTCATACCCTAGGGTACTTATGAGAATTAAATGAGCTAGTACTTAAATAGAAAATATTTAGCCCATATTACTTGCTCTGTAAATGATAGCTATTAATAAAATTCATCCCTCCCTAGGCTCTCCTGGACCATCCTAACTCTGGGGTCATCCCTGAGATTTGGCTTTGGCCTTGAGATGTCTAACTCATCTGGAAGGGGAAGTGGGAAGCAAAGTGCTGGCCTTGCTAGTTAGGGCAGCAGTGGATGAAAGCAGGCTAGGTCTGGAGGCCTGGGAGTGAGCAGTAGGATGGGGCAGACAGAAAGGCAAAGCTAGCTCTTTTTGAAGCCTTTGCCCAGTTGCCAAGGACAACTTTGCCCAAGCCTAGAACAGCTGAGCTGCCAGCTTTTGGCATAGGAACCCAGGATGGAAGAGAAATGGGACAGGAAGAGAGCCACACACTTTCCCATCAGATAAGATGTGCAGCTAGGAGGGGACCTGAAACCCTGCCTCATCAACCAGCATTCACATCATCTCCCACTGCCCCTCTTTGGCCCACAAAGCAAGGCTGACATTTGTTTCTTATGCACAGGAAGGACAGAAACAACCACCACCTACCAGCTGCAGTCTGAGGGATAGTGGATGGACCTTTCCATCCTCACATCTCTCCTCTTGCCTGCCCCAGAACAGAGAGGCTGGAAGGAGGAGTGTGGGGACTGTGCAGTCTGGGCCTCTCACCATAGCCTGACAAATAAGCTGATGATGAAGGGGACAGCAGCGCTGGCTAATTAAGCAGTCATATTTCTCAAGCATTGTACAAGTGGATTTGTGTGAACTATCTTCCTTCCCCTTTGCAATAACCCTGCGAGGCAATACTGTTATTATACCCATTTTCCAGATATGGGAACTGAGGCTGAGAGAGATGAAGTCACTGCCCCTGGTCACAAAGCTAGCAAATGTGGATCTGGGATTAAGTACAGTCAGTGGCTTCAGAGAGCCTGATCCTTCCCATTGCCTCAGGCAGCCTTTGTCCCATGCTGTGAAAGTGATGTCTAAGCTGGTGGCCCTGCTGTGTTTTCTGTTGGCATCCCAGAGTTTCTAGCTTCATTCTTTCCAGTGCTGATGCTTTAGTCTCCAGTAAGCCAAAATCTGGATTTTCTGCCTGCCTTCTTTGCACCCAAGAGCTAGGTCTCCCTCCAGAAAGAAGTAAGGTCCAGGGAGGGTGAAGGGATGAGGAGAAAAGGCTTGGTGCTGCTCTAGGTTTCCACAGCAACAGCCTCCCTCATTACTGCCTCTGCTTGCTGCCTGGGAAAGCTGAGGAGGGTGGTGAGGTGGGAGAGGGTGAGGATCTTGTCTCCTTTCTTTTCCTCCCTCACTGCCCTGCAGGTTGAACAGTCAGGTTGAGCTGAAAGCCTGCATCTGACCAACCTGCTTGATGGAATTCCCCACCTTCTGCCCCACTCCAAGCTTAGTGGCTGGGGCCTTGTAACTAGGGGTCCTCCCAGGTAGAAGGGCCACCTGGTCCAAGCCGCCCAACAGCAGTCCTCTCCCTAACCCCAAAGGCTGGGATGTGAGCTCCCTAGAGAGGACCTCATGTTTGTACTTCCAGCGGAAATAGATACTCAATGTATTCTTGTTGAGTGAATGAATGAATGGGCCAGTAGTGATCTATTCTGCACTGTAGCCACTGCCATTCATTTTCACTTCCTCAAAACATTATGTTCGGCCTTCCCTCTGGGTCTTTGCCAATATGGGTGCCTCTGCCCAGGCTTTCCCATTGCACAGGACTAACTCCTACACCCCCTTCACATCTCAGCTTGGTCACTTTGTCAAAATTCAAAACTTCTGTACTTCAAAAGATACCATCAAGAAAATGAAAAGAAAAGCAATAGACCAGGAGAAACTATTTGCAAAGCAGAGCTCTAATAAAGGGTGTGCATTTGAGCATAAAGAGAACCAAAGGGGCCCTGAAGGAGCGTGGTGCCGGCAAGGGAGTTCCTGGGTCTGTAAGTCTTGTAGTCTCTCCACCGCATTTTGTTCTTTTGCAGCAGCCCCGTAGCTGAGTGGAGCCTCTGGGCCTGACGTGGACCTTCACTGGAGAAGTGACTCAGGTGGGAAAAGTCTCCCCAGACCTCTCCACCTGCAGGATCGCCTTTCCTTCACCTTCCCCTGCCCGCTTCCTTAGCGCGGGCTCCTCCCAGTGACCACCAGCAGAACTGCAGCCTCCTGCCGTAGCTGACCTAGAGCCCGAGGTAGCTCAGATGCCAGCTCCTTCCTCCAAGAGACCCTAGAAATGCCATTGGCCGCTACTCTGATGCTTTGGCAGAAGGCATGCCATTAAAGTGTACTGTGTTCGATGTAACTATTACGAGTTTGCATTTGGCTAAACGTGCTAGTGAGTGAGTTAATTAGCCAGCTGGGGTAGAAACAAGGAAACCATGGGTGGCCTAGGCAGAGCTCGATGGAGCAGGAATTAGGGAAACTGAGAAAGACAAGCAAGAGACTCCCGGATCCTGCTAGATGCTAATCTAGAGGGTGGGAGTGGGAAGAGTTCTGTGCACCCCTTCCTTTTCCAGGACTACTCTCAGGCCCTCCGTCGCAGGTTCTGTGAGTGAGCGCAAGCAGCCCAGACTCCCAGGCCACCTCCCATCCCCTGCTTCAATCCCTTTACCTTCATTCCTGCTCCATCCCCATCTCTCAGCTCTCTCCAACTCCTGGAACCTTTCCATGGTGCCCCCTGGATCTCCATTCTTCATTTTGCAAATATTTATGTGATGCTCCGTGTTCCAGGCATTGTTCTACAAGATGAACACATCCTAACTCACTCCTCTTAAGAGCCCTGTGAAGTGGGGACTAATGGCTGTTGCCATTTCCACTTTACAGAGGAGTAAAGTGAGGCATGGAGACCATAAGTGCCTTGCTCAAGGTCACCCGATGAGCGATGAGCGAGCGTTAGAGCTGAGATTCGGGGTCGCAGACCCATAATCCTCAGAAGCATCCCCAGCTCCTCAGTCTCCTCACCTTCTGACTGGGAGACTCCCCAGCCCAGCTGCCCTTACCACCCTCTCAGAGGGTGGTTCCTGCTTCCCCACCAACACCACTGGTCTGGGGATGGAGACATGTCTTTCTTGTTCCCCTTGGCAACATTGAGACTCTTCCTCCCTGCTTTCTAAAGCCCCCTGTCTTGGACCCACAGATGTCAGCCTAGACATCTTGTTAGTCATTAAGGAGTCCCCCAGGCTACTCTCCCCTTCCCCCCTGACTGTCTCCCCAGTGCTTTTCCTGTCTTCATTCTTGCTGATGTCTATGTCCACATCTCCACAAAGATGATCCTTCTGATACTCAACTGCTCGCTCCCATGGTCATGCCCGAGACCCGATCACCACCAATAGCTGGAATCTCTTTCATCTCAGCACCAAACATCCCAACATCCCACTTTCTGAGTGCAACTCCCTCTGCTGTGCACCCACTAGTCGTCCACAATTCTATCTCCCCTTGGAACTCCAGTACCTTTCCCTGGTCCTCACCCATCTTGCATCTTATTTCTCTCCTGGCTCAAATTCCATGGCAAATCATTACAATTATTCATGTGCTACACCATCAGCCCTCTTGTCTTATGCTCATACTTGCTTGGGGAAACCTCTACCCCAGCTAAGTCTTCCACACCTGCAACCATACGGGTGAATCCAGCATAGCAAGTCTGATTGCCCTCATCAGTTCAAGATCATAAGCCTCCATGGGCCCCACTGTTGCCTGGCAATCCTGCTCCATTTCCCTAATAAATCCTCTCTCGTTCCCCTAGACTTCTATTTCTACCTTTTTTTCCTGTCCCCAAACATCCAACATCCGCCCACCACCACCACCTCACACTGTGCTGAGACCTCATTCCTTCTTTTACTGAGAAACTTGAAGCAAAGCTGGGCATGGGGGCCCATGCCTGTAATCCCAGCTCTTTGGGAGGCCGAGGTGGGTGGGTCACCTGAGATCAGGAGTTCAAGACCAGCCTGGCCAATATGGCGAAATCCCATTTCTACTAAAGATACAAAATTTAGCCAGGTGTGGTGGTGGGCACCTGTAGTCCCAGCTACTCAGGAGGCTGAGGTAGCAGAATTGCTTGAACCCTGGAGGCAGAGGTTGCCGTGAGCCAAGATGGCACCACTGCACTGCAGCCTGAGCAACAGAGTGAGACTCTGTCTCAAAAAAAAAAAAAAAAGAAAAGAAACTAGAAGCAGTAAGGACAGAACACTCACTGGCTCCTGCTGCCACCCCTGGGACCAGCCAGCACCTGGGCATGTGTGCTGCCTTCCCTCACGCTCACCCAGCCAACAGCCTGGCTCTCAGCAAACATCTCCACTGTGCACTAGTTCCCAACCCTCTCACAGTCTCACTTTGCTCCAGCAGTCCCCCCCTCCTCCTACTTCTTCTACTGAATCACTCCCACCACTATACAATGTGTTATTTCTCCCATCTTAACCACTTTCACCTCCAATTACTCTTCCAGAGAGCTGTTTTTGCTCACTGGCTCCAATTCCTCTCCTGTCATTCTCTTGGAGCCTATTCCAGTCTAGCCACTTGCACATGGCTTAAACCATGGCTAATTTGGCCAGGCGCAGTGGCTCGTGCCTCAAGTGAAAGAGAGAGAGAGAGAAAGGAAGGAGATAGAGAAAGGAAAGAGAGAGAGAGAGGAAGGAGAGAGAGAGAGAAAGGAAGGAGAGAGAGAGAGAGAGAGACACCATGGATCATTCACAGTTGTCATCTTTCTTGACCACATCAACACTGGTTCCTCCCTCCTCCTGGAAACATTGTCTTCATTCAACCCAGGACACCACCCTCTCCTGCTTTTCCTCCTTCCTCCCTGGCTGCTGCTTCTCAGTGTCCTTCTGTTTTCTCCTCCCCTGCCCTGTAGATATTGGCGCACCCGAGGCTCCCACCTTGGATCTCTCCTCCCGCTACATTCTCTTCTGTAATTCAGGGCTTTGCCTTGAAGAGTTGTCGCTATGCTGGTGGCTTTTGTCTCAAATTTGTGTCTCCCGTCTCTTCTGAACTGCAGACTCACCTCTCCAACTCTCTGTTCCCCATCTCCCCTTAGTATGTTCCAAACTCAACTCCTGGTCGCACCCCTGCACCCACTCCCCCTCCACTGTCCATTTCCATCCTGCACTTTCTGCCTCTCCCATTCCATAACAGCAACTCTGTCTTCCAGTGGCTCAGGCCAAAAACCTGAGAGTCATCCTCGACTCCTTTCACTCTTTTACATCCCCTGTCTAATCTGCTGGCAAATCTTGTTGGCTCCACATTCAGAATATTTCCAAAATCTGAGCACATCTCCCACCTCCACTGCACCCATCCCAGTCCAGGCTACCATTGTCTCCTGCTCGGACCCTGGCTGAGCTCTCCACGTCTGCTTCTCTGCTTGTTCACCCCTCCTGCTCCCTCACCTAGTCTCCCTATGAGGATCAAAGAGTTCTCATTAAAGCAAGTTATTGTGGGCTAGGTTCAGCGGCTCATGCCTGTAATCCCAGCACTTTGGGAGGCCAGGCAGGAGAATCACTTGAGGTCAGGAGTTTGAGACCAGCCTGGGCAACACAGTGAGACCCTTGTTTCTATCAAAAAATGTTAAGAATTAGCCTGGTGTGGTGGCATGCACCTGTAGTCCCAGCTACTCTTTAATATTGCTTGAGCCCAGGAATTGGGGGCTACAGTGAGCTAGGACCGTGCCACCGCACTCCAGCCTGGGTGACAGAGCAAGTCTCTCTCTCTCTTTAAAAAAAAAAAAAAGTCGTTTTAATTCACTCCATGGCTCACTCCCCATGCCCTTCACCCTGCCCTGTGCAGCCCACTGATCTGCTTGCTTCCCCAGCTCTCCGGGCAAGCTCCAAGCCCAGGGCCTCTCCTCCGCTTAAAGTGCTCTTCCCCCGCAACTGCATGCTTCACTCCCTCAAGTCCTTGCTCAAATGTCATTTTCTCAGCGAGGCCTTCCCTAATCACCCCTTTACAATTCTAACCTCACCTGCATCCCTCCACTTTGTCTCCCCTGTGGAATCCCACAAGGGAGGGGTTTTTATTTATCTTGTTCACTGGTGCATTTGTCTAGCATAAAGCAGTTGCTCACCAAATACTCAAGTGCATCAATGAATGGATGAATGAGTCTACTTTGCTTGAATGGAAGTGAGGGGTTTCCAGGTAGAGGTGAGGTCTGAAGGCAAAATGAACGGTCTTTTGAGAGAAGAACCACCTTGCAGATAAGTTCAAGTAGCTACCGAACACCTCCCATTTTCACTCGCCCTTCCCACTCTTATCCATGCCTGAGGAATGGGATGCCAGGGATGGCAGGCTCTGCACTGATGTCTCACCAGAATGTTCAGGCTCGCGGAGTTGGCTCAGGTCCCTGGGCAGGTGCTGGTCTCCCTAGTTCAAATGCCTGCAAGACAGAGACCTTTCTAAGCCAGGCATAGAAATAACAAACTCCACATATTCCCAATTATTTGTGGGAGCAAAAAATTAAAACAATTGAATTCATGGCGATAGAGAGTAGAAGGATGGTTACCAGACGCTAAGAAGGGTATGGGGGTGGTGGGGAGTGGGGATGCTTAATATGTACCAAAAAACAGAATGAATAAGACTTAGTATTTACTAGCGCAGCAGGGTGACTATAGTCAAAAATAATTTAATTGTACACTTTAAAGCAACTAACAGAGTATAATTGGATTGTTTGTAACCCAAAGGATAAATGCTCAAAAGGATGGATACCTCATTTATCCTGATGTGCTTATATCTCATTGCATGCGTGTATCAAACATCTCAGGTACTCCGTAAATATATACAACTACTATGTACCCACAGAAGTTAAAAAAAAAAAAAAAAAGACAGGGGCCTTTCTTGAGTCACTGCACGTGCCAGGCACTGCATCCCCTAAGAGCTATGGCCCTTACCATGGCTGGATGGTGACTGGATCAGAGATTGTTGAATGCAGAGATGGTTGTCACTGAGCCCTATCTGCACGGGCGTTCCGTGAACACAGCGGTTTTGACTTCCAACATGAACATTTCCACGCTGGGGTCTGACCCACCTTTGTGAGATTTGTTCATTTATATACAAGAAAAACTTCCCAAGGTAGAACTGGAAAGACCCATTTGGATGTGCACTTTACAGCTCTCATTCCAGAGATCCAGTGGTACAAAATAAGAACTCTCCCAGGAAACCGGAGCCAGTCTGTCATCCGGCCCTGGGTGTGAGGCAGCTGTTCTCTTGCAGGACAGGGCTGTGTGCCATCTCGTGGGCTCACCTTCCTGTCTTGGGTATGGAGTGGCCCAGCCTGGCCAAGGCACTCGGTGCCCATCCACAACTCCCCATCAGGCTTCTGTGTTTTGCAAAATGCAAGGGAATCTTTGTGTCTGACCTGGACGCCCTCTGTTCCCCAGGGAACCTCCCAGGATGTCTGCCTCACCGGAGGAACTGAGTACAGGGGGAAGGTTAAAGAACATGACAGTGGACGAATGCTTCCAGTCTCGGAGCACCGTCCTCCAGGGGCAGCCCTTCGGGGGTGTCCCCACCGTGCTGTGCCTCAACATCGCCCTGTGGGTGGTGAGTCCTGGGCACTGCAGGAGGCAGACAGTAAAGCCTCAGACAGGGTTGAACTTTCACAGGTGATACAGTGGGGGACCCAGTTGTCCAAATGGACAACAGCCACAGTGATACGAACTACCTGAATGTCAGTCCTGCCTAGGGTGGCCCGGGTAGGTGGGCCTCGGAGAGAAGAGGCTGGAGGAACAGGCCGAATTCCTGGGATTCTCTTCCATGCATCATTGTCCAAAGGTCCACCTGGCCTCCCGCCTGTTTCTCACTGCTGAGGTCTTCAAGGCACATTCTGGTCCCATAGTTCTGAACATACCACCAGCTCCTTTATTCAACGAACTCTGAGCATCCACTCTGTACCCAGCAGCTGCTGGGCGCTGGCAACCCAGAGTTGAAAGGAATGGCCCCTACTCCAACAGAGCTCACCTTCTAGTGGAGGAGCTCCCTGGGGACCTTAGGGACAGAGTCTCCCCCAAGGGAATGCGGGGGGCCAGCCAAGGGGAAGGGATCCATGAACTCTCCCACCCCACATTGCTTTTCCTGGCCTGTAGCTCGTCCTTGTGGTTTACTCCTTCCTCCGGAAAGCTGCGTGGGACTATGGGCGCCTGGCTCTGCTGATACACAATGACAGGTGAGGAGGGGTCGAGATAGGTGAGCTGTTGCCCCCTTGGGGAGAACCTGCTGCCCCCTTGGGGAGAACCTGCTGCCATGGTCAGGACGCAGCTCTGCCCAGTGCCCAAGCTGCAGCAGGTGTCTCGCCAGCAGGTGGCCTCTGCCCCTGCTCTGCCCTCCCTGCAAGAAGGGGACCTGGAGGGCAGCCATCCCTGGGCACAAGGCCATGTTTTTCTCTGGTCTTAGACTTTCTGGATCACGTGACTGGATTCCCAGGATGCCTGGTGCACCTGGCACAGGGGCGATTGCTGTCTATGCCCAGAGCTGTGTGCTCAGCAAAGGAGCTGAGGCATGCCTGCCCCTTGCAGAGCAGAGGGCAGCCCTCAGCCAGGGAGTGGAGAGGGAGCAGGGCAGGCAGCTGGGACCTTTTCTTTCCTTTCTTACCTCCCTTACCCGTCCCTGGCTGGCAGCCTGACCTCGCTGATCTATGGGGAGCAGAGCGAGAAGACGTCTCCCTCGGAGACCTCCTTGGAGATGGAACGCAGAGACAAGGTGAGTGCTGGTAGCGATCTAGGGGGGGGGAGTCCCGGCGCTGGGCAGGTAGGCGGGGTGTGCACAGGGACAAGTACGGCTCAGACCCTGGGGCTTTGCAATCAGCTGGGCTCAACCACTTCCAAATTCCTCAGCCTCCCCCAGACTCAGTTTCCCCACCTGAAAGATGGAGATATTGACCATACCTACTACTAGGGTGCCAAGTAAGTGTTAACTAACTAAAACATCTTAGAGAGATTTTTTTTTTTTTTTTTTTTTGAGACGGAGTCTCACGCTGTTGCCCAAGCTGGAGTGCAGTGGCGCGATCTCGGCTCACTGCAAGCTCCGCCTCCCGGGTTCCCCCATTCTCCTGCCTCAGCCTCCTGAGTAGCTGGGACTACAGGCGCCGCCACCCGCGCCCGGCTAATTTTTTGTATTTTTAGTAGAGACGGGGTTTCACTGTGGTCTCGATCTCCTGACCTTGTGATCCGCCCGCCTCGGCCTCCCAAAGTGCTGGGATTACAGGCTTGAGCCACCGCGCCCGGCCTTAGAGAGATTTTTAACATTAATTTGTCTTCTCTGCTCAAATCTCCAACCCTTCTCACAGTCCTGTCCTGCCCATGTCCCCGCCTCTGACTCTGAGTCAAGGCCTCACCTCCCATTTCACATAGAAGATTCTAGTCATCTGGCAGGGATTCCCTCAGCCTCAGGCTCCCCAGCCTTGTTTAGTGGAGCGCAGTCTGATGCTTCCTCCCCTTCCCTGGCGAAGACCAGCCCTCCACCCGACTCATGCATCCCTTCAGCCACTTGCTGGGAAGCACCGGCTGTCTGCCAGCCACTGGACTGGGAGCTGGGGGCCAAGTCCTGCCTCATGGCGCTGTCTGCCCGGGCGGGGGAGACGAGCAGACAGAAGCACATAGACTGGTGATAAGGCACAGTGGAGAACGAGGGGGATCTGTGGCATAGGGGAGGTCAGGGATGGTCTAGGGCAGTGGTGACATTTCAGTGGGGCCCTGAATACTTTGAGAGGGCACCCTGAGAACGGCCTCCCTCCCCACCCCCACACACAGCTGAACTTCTGACAGTGGCCCATGCTGCTGTCACCACTTCCTCACCTCTCACTCGCACCGGCCTCTCACTCACGCCCCGCCTCCCACTCACGCCCCGCCTCCCATTCACACCTCCCCTCCCGCTCTCGCCTCCCTTCCCACTCATGCCTCCCCTCCCACTCTGGCCTCCCCACCCACTCACGCCCCCTCCCACTCACCCCTCCCCTCCCACTCACGCCTCCTCTCTCACTCACACCCCACCTCCCACTCATGCCTCCCCGCCACTCACGCCCCGCCTCCCACTCATGTCCCCTCCCACTCACGCCTCCCCTGCCACTCACGAGCCCTGCCTCCCACTTATGTCCCACCTCCCCTCCCTCTCTCACCTCCCAATCACGCCTCACCTCCCACTCACACCTCCTCTCCCACTCATGCCTCCCACTCACGCCTCCCCTCCCACTCTGGCCTCCCCACCCACTCATGCCCCCTCCCACTCACCCCTCCCCTCCCACTCACACCCCGCCTCCCACTCACGCCTCCTCTCTCACTCACACCCCACCTCCCACTCTTGCCTCCCCGCCACTCACGCCCCGCCTCCCACTCATGTCTCACCTCCCACTCACGCCTCCCCTGCCACTCAGGAGCCCTGCCTCCCACTTATGTCCCGCCTCCCCTCCCCCTCTCGCCTCCCAATCACGCCTCACCTCCCACTCACGCCTCCCCTCCCCCTCTCGCCTCCCACTCAAGCCTCCCCTCCCACTCATGCCTCCCACTCACGCCTCCCCTCCCCCTCTCGTCTCCCACTCATGCCTCCCCTCCCACTCACGCCCCCCTCCCACTCACGCCTCCTCTCCCACTCACGCCTCCTCTCCCACTCATGCCTCCCACTCACGCCTCCCACTCTCACCTCCCTACCCTCTCACATCTCCCCTCCCACCCATGCCTCCTCTCCCACTCACGCCTCAACCTCCTCAAATGTGAGCTCCTGTGCATCACTCCACCAAGACAACCTTGAAGGTTAGCAGTGGTTTGCCCCGCCACTAAATCCAATGTACTTTTCTCAGTTCACATCTTGCCTGCGTTCTCCGAAACGTCCCACCCCGTAGACCGTCTTTCTCTCTTGCACAGGTGTTCTCCCTTGCATAGGTGACGTCACATTCTTTGGGTTTTCCTTCTAGCTCTCGGTCTGCTCCTACTGTGTCTCCTTTGCAGGCTTCTCTTCCACACTGGGAGTCTCCCCAACAAGCTGACCCCATACGCTTCCCCTCGCCCTGACTCCTGGGCAGTGACGCCCACACTGACAACTTCCTTTGCCATCTCTACACATAAACTTTTAAATTCCTGTCTCCAGCTAATCCTCTTACTGGGCCCCAGCCTGATTTATTCAATGTCTTTCAAAATATGTCCACATGGATATTGTGGTCATTTGGGGTTCCATTTGTCCAAAACATTTCATGATATCCCATCACACCCACCTGTTCCTGTGACCTTGGTCTCAGACCTCCTACCATCCTCCCCAGGGCCTCCTCTCCCTCTTACCCAGGCCCCCAAGCATGGCCAATGTGTCTCCACGTTGTGTTGCTTTGACTTTCCCCACTTACTTTCTCTCCTTCCCTCCTACCATTCCCTGGTCCAGGCCTCCATCAGCCTTTTGCCTGGACAACTGCAGTAGCTCTAACTGATCCCTTTAAGTCCACACTCTAGGGCCCTTATCCATTTTCCACCTGCATCCAGAGAGATTCCCCTGTCTGGGGACATATTTTCTGCTGCAGAGACCTTCACTGTCTTCCCAGGGCCCGTGGAATCAATTATAGATGCTGTGCTGTGACCTGGTAGTTTGGTCCATCCTCCCTTACTCCTCCCAACTCCCCTATCCCCGCCACATGGTTCCACCTTTTAGTTTCTCAATAGAGCCCCCTGCTTCCCTCTGCCAGACCTTTCCCAGGCTCTTCCCTCTCCCCCTTCCCCAGTGGCCCTTCTCGGAGTCGCTCACCTGTTGTTGAGATTTCAGCTGAAGCATACTTCCCCAGGGAGCCCTGACCACCCTTCCTGGGTCCAGATCTCTTGTTATATAGCCACAGAAAATGCATTCCTTTTGTTTAACTTTTTTAACCTGTCTGTAACGATCCCTCATCTGTGAGATCAGTCTAGTGTGTCTGCTTTCCACAGGCCCTGAACTTGGATTTGCTCATCACTGCACCCCACGTCCAATCCAGCCTGCCGTGTACTTAGCATCTGATGAGTATTTGTCAGCTGTGCTAAGTAAGCGGAGCCACGTTCCTTCCATTGTCATCCTCGAGAGGCTGGGTCCTTCACTTCCTAGGATCTGCCCTCTCCAAAGTGCAGAGCCTCAGACAAGTGACTTCATCTCTTGGAGGCTTCCTAGGTAGAAAAAGGGCAGCAACACCTACCTTGCAATGTGGCTCGCAGCTTTACTTTTAGAAACATCAAAAAAAAAAAGTTTTATTTTTAAAAGTCTAGAAGATAAATCCCTATGGCAGCAGTGAGGGGGACAAACTGAAGAGGGCATAAATTAAATGGGGAAAGAGAGTTCAGTGAGGTGGCCCGCACAGTGTCCAGCCAGGATGGGGAGACGTCAGCCAGGGCCAGGTGGTGTGGGTGAAGAAAATGGGTCTCACCATGGTTCCCTGAGCAATTTGGGTCAGGCATTGTTACCCCCAGGTGGCGGGAGCTCAGATAGGCGAAGTGAACTGATAGCTGTCACTCTGTCACGTCAGCTGAGCTGGCTCCTGGGAACTGCGGCCCTGTGTCTGCCTCTCATGTGGCTGTTCAGCTGCTGAACTTTCTGAATGGTTTATGCCTTCAGAGCCACAGTGGGTACTCAGGGGAGGGAGTGTGTGTGTGTGTGTGCGCGTGCGCATACACACACAAGACAGACACACACAGAGAGAAATACCCATACAGGATATTCATGGCCATGCTTCTACTCATGACCTCTGCCCTTTGGTGGATGACCCATCCTGTGTCTATTCTATTATACACCTGTGCACCTGTAGTGGAAGGGGCAGAAACACATTCCCAGGAAGGTGTGTCCCCAGTGGTGCCTAATCATGAGGGACCATCAAGAAAGCTACTTGTGGCCGGGCGTGGTGGCTCACACCTGTAATCCCAGCACTTTGGGAGGCCGAGGTGGGTGGATCACGAGGTCAGGAGATCGAGACCATCCTGGTAAACATGGTGAAACCCTGTCTCTACTAAAAAATACAAAAAAATTAGCCGGGCATGGTGGCGGGCGCCTGTAGTCCCAGCTGCTCGGGAGGCTGAGGCAGGAGAATGGCGGGAACCCGGGAGGCGGTGGAACTTGCAGTGAACGGAGATCACGCCACTGCACTCCAGCCTGGGCGACAGAGCAAGACTCCGTCTCAAAAAAAAAAAAAAAGAAAGCTACTTGTTCCCTTAGTCAGTCGCACCCTGTTTGCCCAGCTGGGCCGTGGAGACAGACTCTCCATGCAGGACGGGTGACTGGACCTCTCTTGGCCCAGCTCTGCCTTGCTAGTTACCCCTTTCTGGGGATGCTCCCCACTGCTGCTGCCACCAGCATGCTATTCCCCTTCATTGCTCTGACTCACACCTGAACCTTTATCCTTAATTTAGCTCCCCAGGATATAGCTGGAGGAATATCCTGCCGTGAACACCCACCGATTGGCCATCGTCACCATCAGCCAACCCAATACAGGGAAGGGGCCTTAGAAAGTGGGACTTATGCCAAGGGGAGCAAGGGACCGCTGTTTCTTTTGTGCCTTCTCAAAAGGAAGCAACGAGGAAAGACAAAAAAGAAACAGATGTCCTTTGCTCCCCTTGGCATAAGGCCCACCTTCTAAGTCTCCTTCCCTGTGTCAGGTTGGCTGATAGTTGCTTCCTTTTGGGAAACACCTCTTCCCCAGTCCGTGTGGTTCCAGAGGACCATCAATCAAGAGGTCTGCCCAGTTCACAGAAGTGCACATGACCCAAACGGAGCCATTCTAGAGCTGTAACCTTGTGCAAGGCTTTGCTAAGTCCTCTGGGATCCCAGAAAGAAGCAGGCACCAGGGTAACTTCACCAGCTACCAGAGCTGGCAGCTTCTAGAGTTGCAGGCCCTAGCCCCCGCTCTTACACACCATTCCAAAGACGACTCTCTCTAGTCCCCCACCAGTCTCCCCATGGCTGAGGCCACCTTTCCCCACCACCCAGAAACTCAAGACAGCAAGACCCCAAGAGAAAGGTATCAACAGGACAGTACCCTCAGCACATGGCATCAAAGATACCACCAAACCACTCCAGGCTTCATGATGTTTACCGAGGTGCAGGAATTCAGAGGGAAAGAGACCTTCTCCCTTGCAACACCCACATCAATCTCCTTAAGGGATTTTTTTTTTTTTAATTTTAGTAAGTGGGGTCTTGCTGTGTTGCCCAGGCTGGACTCAAACTCCTGGGCTCAAGTGATCCACCTGCCTCAGCCTCTTGAGCTGCTGAGATTAAGAGTGTGAGCCACCATGCCTGGCTTCCTTAAGGAAATTTTAATTGGCCCCACTTGGGTAAAGTTCCCATTGGCCAGTCAGTCACTGGAGGCAAATTCCCACTTGGACAGAGTAAGAGTAGGAGCCCACTGGACCACACGCATCCAGGGAAGGGCATCTCCGGAAGGAAGCATGAAGGACGGACAGAGAGTGACAGATGTTCACCCCGGAAGGAGTCACTTCTCCCCCTCCAGTTCAAGAGTCACCTTCTGAACCCCATTTCCTGTAACAGGAAGGCAGAGATGTCCCCTCATTTCCAAGGAAGCTTCTCCCTCCACAGTCACTGGTTCCCAACTGAGCCTTCAGACTCTTTTTCCCGGGAAGGAGGCCCCGGACACTGCCGCAGCTGCCTCAGATGACCCGGCCGCCTGGGTTCCCAGAGCTGGGCAGGGCGGGCCAGGGCCTGAGTTTTCTCACAGTTTCTCTCCTTTCCCCCCAGGGCTTCTGTTCCTGGTTCTTCAACAGCATAACCATGAAGTAAGTGCCCGGGCTCTGTGCGCTTGTGACTGTGTTGCCTTGGGGATGGGGGGTGGAGGCTCCTGGAAAAGTTAGCAGCCCCCAGCCTGGGATGACAGGGCCTGAGCTCCACACCCTCCCCACCACCTCGGCCCATCACCGGTGAAGGATGCTTTCCTGGGTGACAATTGGTGAAGTGGGAACTGGGCACAGCCCACTGCCCCTCAGGGAAGGACCACTTTTAATAGCTGAATCATTACTCACATGCTTATAGAAATGCTTCTGTGAACTCCACATGAGGAAAAAGAAATCCTTCCTTTGTGCTATCTGCTTTATTTCTGTGAACATCATTCAGCATATCATGTGTTCGCCCTTCTGCCCAAGCAAACACATCCGGCGGAAGGGCAGGCCTCTCTTGGCCTCGGTGCCTGGAGAGCAGAGGGTCAGCCCTTGCCCACCTCACCTTCTGGGTTTCTTGAATGCCAGATCCCACTTTGCAAAACAGCAGATCCCAAGTCACCCGTTTTCTCCTGCAAGCCGACCTCAAGTTACCTATTTTCTCCTGATTCCTCAACACCAGCCAGACGCTTCAGCAGCGCAGACACTTACCAGAGCTCTGTGTTCCCACTGCATAGGCATACACGCGTGCACACTCATACATACACGCACACACACGAGCATGTGTGCACACAGCTCTTCCTCCACCTCAGACCCCACATACTCATGGGCTCTCCCTCAGTGTGCTCCATCTGTCCTGTCCTGCCCATCCTTAAAACCCCTCCACCCCACCCTTACCCAAAGGCTCCTATCATGGAGACCCCTCTGTCAGGGACTCAACATCTGGGAAAGCAGGAAGGCAGCGCATTGCACCGTGCATCCAGCACCCCTTGAGAGCAGTGTCATAGAAGACAGTTTAATGAGTTTACTGAGCAGCAATAAGTCAAGCAGAGTCCCCATGCACAAACGCACGCGATCTGGTTGGAGAAATAAAGGTGAACAAGACTCCCTTCGTAGAATTCAGAATGGGAGGGTTATAATTGCCGTGCAGAGGGCATCTGGGGAAGAGATAAAGGAATTCCAACTGGAAAAGTACAGTTTTGAGCTAGGCGTTAGAGGACAGGAAGAGTTTCAACAGGCGCAATGTGGGATGTGGAGGGCACATCACAAGTAAAGGACTGTGGCCGGGCGCCGTGGCTCACGCCTGTAATTCCAGCACTTTGGGAGGTCGAAGTGGGCGGATCACGAGGTCAGGAGATCGAGACCATCCTGACTAACACGGTGAAACCCCATCTCTATTAAAAATACAAAAAAATTAGCTGGGCGTGGTAGCAGGCACCTGTAGTCCCAGCTACTCGGGAGGCTGAGGCAGGAGAATCGTGTGAACCTGGGAGGCGGAGCTTGCAGTGAGCTGAGATCATGCCACTGCATTCCAGCCCAGGTGACAGAGCAAGACTCTGTCTCAGAAAAAAGAAAAGAAGTAAAGGACTGTGTGAGCCAGTTTGTTGCAGAAGATGAGTGGGGTGTACCCAGACATGGTAAATCTGGTGTGGTTAGAAGCAAGATTTCATGGTAAGTGTGGCAGGGGAGGGTAAAAGATTGGGCTGGAAGGATCAGTTGGGGTTTTTTTTTTTGAAGCAGAGTCTCTCTTTGTCGCCCAGGTTGGAGTGCAGTAGCACAGTCTCAGTTCACTGCAACCTCCGCCTCCTGGGTTCAAGCAATTCTCCTACCTCAGCCTCCTGAGTAGCTGGGATTACAGGCACGTGCCACCATGCCCTGCTAATTTTTGTATTTTTAGTAAAGACGGGGTTTCACCATGTTGGCCAGGCTGGCCTCGAACTCCTGACCTGAGGTGGGCCACCTGCCTCACTCTTTCAAAGTGCTGGGATTACAGGCATGAGCCACCACATTGGGCCTCAGCTGGGATCTTGACTGGCATACTGAGAATCTTGGGCTTTCATCTAGAGACAGTAGGGAGTCAATTAGTATTTTCAAGCAGGAAAGTCAAAACGATATATGTGTTTAGGCAGAAGTGTGGAGAGTGAATGGCCTTAGAGAAAGTCCAAAGTCAAGGTGAGCAGTTAAGGAGGCTATTCCAATGGTCGAGGTGGGAGGTGCTGGTGACCTGAACTGGGGCAGTGACTACAGAAACAACGGAAAAAATTGTCTTCCACAAAACTGGTCCCTGGTGCCAAAAAAGTTGGGGACCACTGCTGTATAGTATTTCATGATTTATATATCACAGTTCTTGTGTCCATTTCACCTTGATAGACATGTAAGTTGTTTCCAGTTTGAGGATTTACAAGTAATGCATCTATGAAATTTTTATACATGTCTCTGGGTACACATGTCATGCATTTCTGTTGGGTGTAAACCTAGGAGTAGAATCGCTAGGTCATAGAATGTGCATGATTTCCATTTCAGTAGATAATACCAACTGTTCTCCAGTGTAACTGGGCCAGTGTATACACCCGTGAGAACAGGAGAGCTCCCAATGCCCCACACTCTCACCAACACTTACTGTTGTCCAACTTTCCAACTTTGGCAAATCTGGCAGTGTGGAGTGATAGCTCGTTATCTCATCATGGGTTTCAGGTGTTCCTTTTTTCCTAATAGGCTGCCTCTCAATACCACGAATGCTTTCTCTGGTGGTATGGCTGCACCATAGCAACCACTCAAAATGTTTGAAGAAGTAATAAAAGGATGAATGAACGCTCTATTTCAAGAGTGTTTCTGGATTCCTGAGTGTGTATCTGTAACAGAGCCCCTATCTTTGATATGTCTGTGAAATTCAGTTAAGGTATACTTCAGGGATAACAGAGGCTTTGAGATATAGGGCAATCTTTAAAAAAAAAAAAAAAAAAAAAAAACTTGGGGAGGCGGTGATCATTTGCTGTCCTTCCCTCTACCTCCCTGCAACAAGTGGTGGCCATGCTGGCTCCCGAGGCATGTCCTTGTCTATGTGTCTCTTCCAGGGACGAGGATCTGATTAACAAGTGTGGGGACGACGCACGCATCTACATCGTGTTCCAGTACCACCTCATCATCTTCGTGCTCATCATCTGCATCCCTTCCCTGGGCATCATTTTGCCCATCAACTATACTGGATCCGTTCTGGGTAGGCAGAGCTCAGTGGGCCCCAGGGCAGCCGCTGGACCTGAGAGGCAGCCAGGCAAGCCAGTCAGGGCTGGGGTTGAGGGTCTAGACATCTATTTTAATCCTGCCTCTTGGAGTTTGTTGTTGTGTGAACCTGGACAAGCCATGCTTCACTTCTCTCAGGTGGAGACTGGAGACGATTCCTCCTTTGTCACAGGTTTGGCCCAGGGCCTGGCACACAGCAGGCACATAGTATTAATTCAGTTGGGAATTGAGTGTTCATTCACGGCCCCACTCTGGCTGGGTGTTCCTGGGGACCCTTTTGTGACATGTGACCCACTGCAAAGATCCCTGAACCCATTCTGTTGGACATCACACTGTAAGTGCAGAATTTGTCTTGTGGGACCTCTGCTCCCACTCACTGGAAGAGGGTAAGCCCTTCGGACAGAACAGCATTGTGGATGAGACCTGGGCTTCCAAAACAGAACAATCAGGACTCCACAATGTTTACCCACACCTGCACCCCAGAAAATACCTTTGCCTAGTTAATATGTTATTTTATTTATTTATTTATTTATTTATTTATTTATTTATTGAGACAGAGTTTTGCTATTGTCGCCCAGGCTGGAGTGCAATGGCATAATCTCAGCTCACTGCAACCTCTGCCTCCTGGGTTCAAGTGATTCTCCTGCCTCAGCCTCCCGAGTAGCTGGGATTACAGGCACTTGCCCGCACACCTGGCTAATTTTTGTATTTTTAGTAGAGACGGGGTTTCACCATGTTGGTCAGGCTGGTCTCAAACTCCTGACCTCCAGTGATCCGCCCGCCTCAGCCTCCCAAAGTGCTGAGATTACAGGCATGAGCCACCAAGCCTGGCCGCTAACATGTGATTTAACCTAGTATATGGCAAATCAGTCTCCCGAGCTTCACTTTCCTCAGCTGTCTTAGGGATTGGGAGATCACATACCTACACAGTGCTTGATAGACGTAGTAGATGCTCAATGAATAGCAGGTAGTATTTCACTTAGAATCATGAAGCTGAACGGAGCTGTGTGAAGACTGCACAACTGGGTGGTGCAGAATAGCACCTTAAATGCCCCAGTGGAAACCAGCTTTACCTTGATTCCTCAGGTTTCTACCTGTTTGTCCTTGGCCAGAGGTAGACCTGAATTCAGTTTAGCACACAGTGTCCATACCACCAAATTCCACTACTAGAGTAACATCTGAGTCCTTGTCTTGTCTTATCCTAAGAGCTGGTATGTTGGCAGTGATCATATCATGCAGGATTTTTAGACACATTTTACAAGGGAGTGTCCGAACCGTCAAACTAATACACCTAGCCAGAAGGATTTCCTCTGAATAAGGCAGTGTTGCCTTTTCTGGACATTGCCAGTGGTAATAGTGTTGCTAATGTCATCATTCTGCTCATGGCTGGATGGCTGGTACCTTCAACAAGCATTCACTGGGTGTCCATTATGCGCCAATCGTGCCCTGGAGATACCACACAAAGAAGTGTGCACGCTTTCCTCCCGAGAGCCCCAGTCAGCAGTGCCAGGGAAAAGAGGCCTCTGATGTTTTTGTTAAAAGTTGGGGACAAGCTCTGGGGAACCGGAAGGAAGAGGAGGACAAAGGCAAGCATCTCCAGACCCCAGGCATTCGTCCAGGAACCTTGAACTCTGGTGCCCCACAGCAACTGAGGAGCCAGCAACTTCTTTCTCTTTCAGACTGGAGCAGTCACTTTGCTCGGACCACCATTGTCAATGTCTCCACAGAGTAGGTACCTGATCTGAAGCTCCCATTCCATTGGCTGGGGGTGTTGGTGTGGAGAGGAGGTCTCACATGTCAGTTTGTAACATGGGCACCGTTTTGCTGATAAGAACGGCCTGGTTTCCCTGGGAACCGGGTCCTGAGTGAGATGCCGGAAGCTGCATCCTCTCGGTGGGGCAGGGCTCTTGGTGTGAGATGAGACCCTGTGTCCTCATCTGTCATGAGTGGAGCTGCCCAAACTGGCCACTCATGAAGACGTGGAGAAATGGTCCTATTTGCTTCGTGTAGCCAGATCCCAAGAGGCAGAGGCCCTGTGCTGAAAGAGATTGAAGATTGTTTTCCTGCCACCAATAGGCTCCAGTCAGCCGTCATACACCTGAGTGAATCACGGGCCTGACAGTCCCCCTCAGAGTCCCACAGCAGACTCATGTCCCCCCTCTGCCATTAACTGGCCCTGGGTCTGAAGCAGTGTGCCCCCAACACTGAGCTTCAGTCCTTATCCATGTCCATCACTGGGGAAGGGCTGGTGAACATACTCTCTCAGCTCCTTCCCCTCACAGGCCAGGAACCTGTGGATTCCAACATCAGCCGACCTGGCTGGTGGCATATCAATTTACCCCGGGGCAAATGCGGCCCTGTTGGGCCGTGCCATGGCCTAGGTGTCTAGGCCAGCTTGGCTGATTCCTGACAAAGCTGCAGAAGCAGTTCCAGCCAGTGTGAGTGGGGCTCACACACCCCTGCCCCATCTCGCCTCCTCCCACCCCTGTCCCTCTGCCCCTGCTCTCCTGCAATACACCTTGGAGCAGACTGGCTTAACCCAAGCTCTGAAATCAGCAGAAAGGGGCTATGACATCCTCTCATCTCTGCTTTCACCATATCCTCCCCTGGGGATGCCAACCAGAGCAGGGATATCGGCTCCTTCCCAAGGCCCATTGCTGGCCCGAGGTACCTACATCTTCCCAACAAAAAGTGAATTCTAGTAGTACAGCAAAAAGCCATCAGTCTCCATGAATCCATCCTGGCAGAGAGCTGGAGCGTTCTGTAGAGACCATGTAGCCTTGCCCCTCTATGAAAACTGAGGGTGGAGGCATCTAGCAGATGGCAATGGCGTGTGAGGTGCCAGGCACCTTTTGAAGCAAGGTGACCTTTCTCCCCTCTAACCATGTGGAATAAGGTGGGCCCTACTTCTGAGTAGCAATCCTAGCCAGATGCTTTGGGATGGCATCACGTGAGTTGAAAGCAGGGATGGCAAACATGGCCCAAGTGCCATGACTCTCCTACCCCAGGGGCGTGCTGCAAACCATCTGGCTCTCCTTCCTCAAGGCCTGCAGGTAACCCAGGTTCTTCCTCACTTGGTCTGCTGGGCAACCATGGGGGCCTGAGCCACAGCAGCTGGCAGGATGGTGTTACAGTGATGAATCTTAAGTTCTTCAGCAGCTCTGGGCTCACCTCCCAGTGCACCACTGCTACGGTGACCTTGGGTGGGTCACCAACCCTCTCTCACCCTCATTTCCCTTTGAGTGAAGTGAAGATAACCACATGCATGGCTATGTGTGTGGTTGAGTCTAGTGAGAAAATGCACACCATGCACTAAGTCCCACCTGGATCTGGCTCAGAGTAAACACTCAATACACATCCCCCTCATGAGCTGGAGCAAGACCCCTTCTCACCACTGATGCCCCTTCCAAGGCACCTGAGTGTCTGGACTCCAAGAAGGTGTTCCTGGAGAGACTGCATGTGGGCTGGGAGAGGGGGGTCCTGGGAGATTGTGATCGGTGGGAGGGGAGGGTCTGAGAAGACTGCAATGGATGGGGAGATATTTGGGGAGACTGTGATGGCTGGGAGGGAGACCTGGGAGACTGTGATGGGTCGGGGGAGGTGTCCAGGGAGCCTGAGATGGGTGGGGCTGTCCCAGGAGACTGCGACTGGTGGAACGGGTCCAAGGAGACTGTGACCATGACCGGCTAGGGGGTCCAGGGAGACTGCAATGGGTGGGATGGGGGGTCCGGGGAAACTGTGATGGGTGGGAGGGAGCAGGGAGCCCTAGGAGACTGCGATGGGTGGGGGAGGTGTCCAGGGGGACTGCAATGGGTGGGGGTCTGGGGAGACTGTGGTGGGTGGGGGGATCTGGGGAGACAGTGATGGGTGGGGATCTGGGGAGACTGTGATGGGTGGAGGTCTGGGGAGACTGTGATGGGTGGGGGTTCTAGGGAGACTGTGATGGGTGGAGGTGTGGGGAGACTGTGAGGGTGGGTGTGGGAGACTGTGATGGGTGGGGGTCTGGGGAGACTGTGATGGGTGGAGGTCTGGGAGACTGTGATGGGTGGGGGTCTGGGAGACTGTGATGGGTAGAGGTGTGGGGACTGTGATGGGTGGGGGTTGGGAGCGTGGGGGGGGGGGGAGACTGTGATGGGTGGAGGTGTGGGAGAGTGATGGTGGGGTCTGGGGAGACTGTGAGGGTGGGGTGGGGGTGTGGGGGGGTGGGGAGACTGTGATGGGTGGAGGTCTGGGAGACTGTGATGGGGGGGGGGGGGGGGGGGGGGGGGGAGCTGGAGGGTGGGGGGGGAGACTGTGATGGGTGGGGGGGTCTGGGGAGACTGTGATGGGTGGAGGTGTGGAGAGACTGTGATGGGTGGGGGGTCTGGGGAGACTGTGATGGGTGGGGGTATATGGGGAGACTGTGATGGATGGGGTCTGGGGAGACTGTGATGCATGGGGGTGTGGGGAGACTGTGATGCATGGGGGTGTGGGGAGAATGTGATGGGTGGGGGTGTGGGGAGAGTGTGATGGGTGGAGGTGTGGGGAGACTGTGATGGATGGGGGTAGTCCCGGGAGACTGCGATGGGTTGGGGTCTGAGGAGACTGTGAGAGGTTGGGAGGCCCCAGGAGACTGATGGCAGGAGGAGGCCCAGGGGTCTGTGTGCAGTGGGCTCTGGGGAGCTCGCAGGCTGACCTCACTGCTGCTGCCTGCCTCCCTATAGGAGCAAGCTCCTGTGGCTGCACAGCCTGCTGTCCTTCTTCTACTTCATCACCAACTTTGTGTTCATGGCTCATCACTGCCTGAGGTTTGCGCCCAGGAATAGCCAAAAGGTAAGTGGCCTACAAAGCTGCTCCCCACTGGGCCGACCACTCCCAGCCCTCAGAGAAGCCCTCAGAGGGTCCAGGGAGACTGTGGCAGATGGGAGGGGGCGGTTTCACCTGAGCAGGGGCCAAGCTTCCTCCCTTCAGCCCTAGTAACAATTATCTGGCCCCCACCTCTCACCCTCCTCCACCCTCCTCCACCCTATCACCCCCAATGAACTTTCAGACTGGTTGGTAAATAGCTGCTGCCCAGGTACCTCCTATCCCTGCCCCTCTGCTGCCCCGCCCCTCCCCAGGGACTCTTGGACTTCCCACCATCCGAAAACTAAAGGATTAACAAGGCCCAGTGGACCAGCGGGGGCCTCCGTGCTAAGTGGTCAGGGCCCTGCTGAACTGCTGCTACTTAGTGTACCTGGCCCTGCCCACTCCTGCTAGGGCCATGCCTTGCCCTTCTGCAATCTCTCTGAGGTCAGAGACCCCCTGTGTTTCCCCACCGTCTCAGTTTGGGTGACCCCATCCAAGCAGACCCTGAGACTTGGATTGAGTAGCACTTGTTTATGGGAGGTGATCCCAGGAAACGCCAGTAAGGGAGTGAGGATGCAAAGGCAACCAAAAAAAAGGGAGCATAGAGGGGCAGCTTACCACTGGAGGCAGCTGGAGCTTTATGACCTGGGAATTCTGGGAGTTGGTGTAGAACACATGCCCCAGAATTTTCCTGGAGGTGAGCAATCGGGGTATTTTTCCACCAGCTCCCTGTCCACCATTCATTGAGGGTTGCACTTGGGGGCTTTAAACCTCAATGAATGCTTGCCCTGCACAAAAGCAGAACATGCCCCAAGGCCGGGAAAGAACAGTCGCTGTGTTTGCAGCATGCCGCAGGCTTTGGTGTGCAGAGATGACTGATGGGGGGCCACGGGCAGGCACCAGCAGTGCCACCCATCTGGACCAGCACCCATGCTCTGGTGGGGAGGGGCAACAGCGAGGATGAGCATCCTTGGCTCCTGTCCTCAGCCTTTCAATGGTTCAGTGGTGTGGAGTCAGCTCCTTCCAAGCCATCCATTCAAAAGGCCTGATTCACTTGAACCCACCCCAGAGTGCAAATCCACATTCCCTGAAAAGTGAACCCAAATGCTTCAGCCTGCCAGGCGTGGAGGCTTGGTCACCCTTGACCAGTCTGGTGTCTGCTACTTCAGCTTTCCTTATTGTTACCAGAAGCCTCTTTTAAGACCCCTGATTCTTGCAGCGCAGTTTATCAGACTGTCATCTTAACGGTGACGACCCAGGAAGATATTTCCCATTCACAGAATAAAATGTGAAGTTCGTGAGAAGCTTCCCTATCCTCTCCCCAGAGTCTTGTTTACTTCCCAGCTCCCCCACCCAGTCTCATGTGAGAGATTTCTCTAGCAATGTGAGGCTTTATGCTGGAGTAGTGGAAGCTACAGGGAGAGCAGAAATCACTGTGGGGTCGCTCGGGCAGCTCTTTCCAATCATGGAGCTCTGATCCTCCACCCCAGCCTGATGGCGGCTTCCAGCCCTTCCTCCCTTCACCACAGTGGTCTGTGGCAGGGCACCCACAGCTGGGCACAGAGGAGAGCAGAAGCACAATGGACCAACCTCAGAGCTACCTGGCTCAGCTGGGCCACTGTGGGTTAAGGAAGCTGGCACTATTTTGGCCCACAGTGTCCCAGCTTGGCTTTGGCTTTCTTGGCTGTCTCAGCAAGGAGACACTGGCATCAGCAGCCTGCTGGGAGCAGGCTGCTCCCAGGAGACTCCGGGCCACCAAAAGACTCAGGTGTCTGGAATTCCTATGCAAGCACAGTCTTCTTTCTTCATTGATTATTCCCACCCAGGTCACAAGGACGCTAATGATCACCTATGTGCCCAAGGACATTGAAGACCCAGAAATCATCATTAAGCATTTTCAGTAAGTGGGTTGGGGTGGGCCGAGGCGTGGATGGCTTCCTCCCCGTAACCCTGCCTGGGTCCTCAAGTGGGTAGTGAGTTGGTGCAGGATGGTGGGACTGGGACACCCCAGGGTGGCTCTCCCTGGACTGAGCTCAGGATCTGAAAAGCTTTGCAGAATGGGGAGGGCCACTGGAGCTGGAGCAGGGTTTCTGAAGTCAGGGACTTCCTGCATGGCTGTGATAGGGGTGATGGGAGTTTTCCTTTCTGCTGTTGCTCCAACTACTGGGCACAGGGAACCCTGGATCACAGCTATTTAGAGCAGATCATCTGGAGACATCTTTTGTGACCCCAAGTTCCTAACCCCAAGGACACTGTTCACTGAGCTGACTCTCTCTTCGTGAACAGCTCTCTCCTGGGTTCCCCTCGGGTGGAGCTCCACCCTTTGGCCCTGTTCTGAGTTATGTAGGAAGGATTTGACAGCTCTCAGATCACCAAGGTTCAAACCCTGAGGTTCAGCTTTAGGAGCAGAGATGGAGTCTCCCATCCAGGAACACCAGGCAGCTGAGCCCCCCAGCCCTGGGGGCCGACATGCTGGGCAGGGGCTAGGGGCAGCACATCCCCACCCCACAGGCCAACTCAGCACCCATGTTTGTGGCTGCAGCGAGGCCTATCCAGGCAGTGTCGTGACCAGAGTCCACTTCTGCTACGACGTCAGGAACCTGATCGACTTGGACGATCAGAGGTGAGGCTGCAGCGGGGCCTTTCGGCGCCCGGGGTGGGGGTAAAAGGGGAGGATGGGGCTCTGCTGGTCCCTGACCTGCAGGTCCTTCTCCCGTTGCCCACCGCTGGCAGGCGCCACGCCATGCGGGGCCGGCTCTTCTACACAGCCAAGGCCAAGAAGACTGGGAAGGTGATGATCAGGATCCACCCCTGCGCCCGCCTGTGCTTCTGCAAGTGCTGGACCTGCTTCAAGGAGGTAACTGGCTTGAGCATCGGGAGCACAGCAAGGGAGCGGTAGGGTCCTGGGGCTCTAGGATCTGTGCCTTCACCCGCACTGTTGGGCCCCAGGCCCCATTCAGGTCTGCTCCAGTGCTCCCCACCCAGCTCCTCCCTCCCCATCCACCATGTCCTGCCTCTCTGTTGAGATGGGAGCCTTTCTGGAGGCCACCTTCAGAACAATGCAGGGAAGCTTGCTCTTGTCTCCTTTCTGGTCTTGGATGGGAGAATGAGAGAGAAGGACCAGAGAAAACACAGCAGGCTACACGAGGCTGCCAGGCCTCAGGCTCCCAAAGAGATAGGACAGAAACATTTGAAGGCAGCAGCCTGTCTTATCACCTGACCACTGTGGCTCAAAGAAGGCGTCAAGACTCAGACACCTGCTTCAGGACCACACCGAACTTCTGCCATCCCAGGAAAAGAATCACCCTCTCTTGTGGAAATGCGGCAAACACATTATCTCACCTCTCTGGGGTCCACCCCAAGCCTGAAAGCCCCTGGGTACCCCTAGCTATGCCTCACTTTCCCCAGATCTAAGGGCAGGGGTGAAAGGCAGTCATCGCCTCTTCTTGTTCTAGAGGTGGGACTTTGGAGGCCAGCCAGGGTCCTGGGCTCCTTGAGGTGCTTCAAGGCCACCACAATCCAGGGAGGCTTGAGTGGGGAGGAACCTCGTGACCAGGGAGGCCTTACTGGGGCTCTGGCCCCAGCCCTGAGGGCTGCCTGCCACCCCAGGTGGATGCAGAGCAGTATTACAGCGAGCTAGAGGAGCAGCTAACAGACGAGTTCAATGCCGAGCTCAACCGCGTGCCGCTCAAGCGCCTGGACCTGATCTTCGTCACCTTCCAGGACTCCAGGATGGCCAAGCGGTGAGCACCAGGCAGGCACCCCACTCAGCCCCAAGAACACCCCTGCTTCTCGGCACTCTCGTCCCTCTCCCCCTCCAGTTTCCCCTTCTGCCTCCCCTGGGCCCTCCATGCTCCTCACAGGCAGCTGCCCTCTGGCTCTCCAGTAGGATGAGATGGCCATACCTGCTTCTCCTAGCTGCTGGGGCCCAGCCGGTCTCCAGGGGTGCCCAGGCCGGGGCTCCTCACTCCCTGTCCTTGCTTCAGCACAGAGGTGGCCCCAGAAGCCTTTGACCTCATGGTTCCTCTTCTGTCCTTGACAAGAATGACATCCCTTTTTCTTTTTCTTTCTTTCGTTTTTTTTTTTTTGAGACAGAGTCTTGCTCTGTCACCCTGGCTGGAGAGCAGTGGCACAATTTTGGCTCACTGCAACCTCTGCCTCCCAGGTTCAAGCGATTCTCCCGCCTCAGCCTCCCAAGTCGCTGGGATTACAGGTGCCCGCCACCAAGCCCAGCTAATTTTTGTATTTTTAGTAGAGATGGGGTTTCACCATGTTGGCTGGGCTGGTCTCGAACTCCTGACCTCAGGTGATCTGCCTACCTCAGTCTCCCAAAGTGCTGGGATTACAGGTGTGAGCCACCACGCCCAGCCGACACACACGTCACTCCCTCCTCACCATAAGAGAGCATCAGGATAGAGAAGCTCTGCTTGCCCTTCTGCTGCTGCAGGCCTCCCCTAATTCATAGCTCTACAGTCCCCTCTCTTTTCCGCCCCAGCCTCTGGCAGCCCATGCATTGACAAGGAATGAATTCAGTCCACTCTGGAATGTTCCAGAAGGATCCTTAGGACTGGGCCAAAGTCCTAAAGGAGCTCCAGAATTTATCTCTTAAGAATTGTCGGGGGCGGGTGGGCTCTTCTTTCCGGGGGAGACTGATTCTGTACAGCACATTGTTCCCACCCACCCCACCCCTACAAAGGAAGAGAACTGCCTAGATTTTGCTCACAAACAATGGTGCACAATTTTGCAAGTTCCTTATACTCTCAACTTGTTATCTGGAAAATTTGGTTACTGATAACGGCCCTGTTCACCTCCCGGAAGGTTGACAAGTGATATGCCTTCTATTCCATTTCTGTGTTGTTTAAAGCAATACACCTACCTAAGGTAACATTGTTCATTCTTTGAGACATCATCATTTGGTAGAGAGGATCCGAGGCTTAATTACAGCGGAATATGAGCTAGCAAGCCAGAGGTGGGGCTCCAGCACCTGCTCCTCTTTGGTCACATCTCTAGGCACCTTGATTTAGTCATCTGTGCATTGGAAATGATACTGGTCATCAATTAGCACACAGAACTCAATAATTAGTAGCTATTGATATTAAGATGAGGCTAAAAGTAGTACCTCCCTTATCAAATCTCAAAGAGAGAGTGTGTCTATGTGCTGTCACTGCTGTTAAGGGGAAAGGCAGAAACAGAACCACATGGCACCCCTGCCCTTCCTGGGCAGTCAAGGCACCCTCAAAAGCCCTTTCCTCCAGACACTGGGCCTTAGGAACTGTCCACCTGTAAGGTCCTGAAGACATAGCCAAGGCTTCAAGAATCCCTAGGAAGGGGGTGAGCCCCCATCTGTAGGACCACCATAGTGACCCTGAGCCCCTGGCATGAGACCCTCCTAAGCCCATCCCCCACCCCCAGACCCACATCTCCTCCTCTTCTCCCCTCTCTGCAGCGTCCGTAAGGATTACAAATATATCCATTGTGGTGTGCAACCCCAGCAGTCCTCAGTGACCACCATCGTCAAATCCTATTACTGGAGGGTCACTATGGCTCCACACCCCAAAGACATTATTTGGTAAGCCTTTTCCATCCCTCCCCTCTCCTCTGAGCTCCTCTGAGACTGAAGAAGGCAGCAGGACAGGGCCTTCTCTCCCCATGTCATTGCCCAACAGAGACTCCAAGGGGACTAAGTTCCATGCTTTCCTAAGCACCACAACCTGTGTGTACCACTAGATTCATTCCCACAAATGTGGGAGGCATCCAACCCTTAGCAAAAAGGTTTTTCCTGCAGAAGGAACTCAGGTCCATTTTTTTTTTGGCTATATGCACCGGATCCTTTATAAACAGTGTTACAGGGGGCGGTCCAGGGGCCCACTGCATGCAGGTCTGGGCCCAGGAGGCTGGATTAGACCAGGCCAGCCTGGGTCCACAGCTGGCCTGCAGCAAACAGCACGTGGCCTCTAAGAACTGCTGTCTCTAAGTGTGCCTCCTTCTTTCATCCCTCCCCAGGAAACACCTGTCTGTCCGCCGCTTCTTTTGGTGGGCCCGCTTTATTGCAATCAACACCTTCCTCTTCTTCCTCTTCTTCTTCCTCACCACGCCTGCCATCATCATGAACACTATCGACATGTACAACGTCACCCGCCCCATCGAGAAGCTGCAGGTGCCTCCTCTGCTCAGGCCAGGCCTGGGGGCCCCAGGGAGATCAAGGAAGAATTCAGGCGAGGATGGAATGGGGGGGCCCCCTGGGATGCGGCTGTGGAGCCCCTATACAGTGCAAACATTGTGGAGGTGGCCGTGGTGCAAATGGTGGGGTAGGGCTTGATTTGTTCTAAAGGGATGAAGGTGGGTGACTGCCAGTCTTAGGGACCAGGGCTAGAACAGGGAGGGAGAGTGGAGAGTCCACAGGCAGGTCCTGGGGTGAGTTGGAGGGGGTGTCGTCCTGTCAACATGGGCTCAGAGGTCTTCATGAACGGGGTCATCCCAGGCCAGCGTGGAGTCCAGAGGGTGTGGCAAATGTGAGTGGCTCTGCTTTCCACAAGTTGTTCAGGGCAGCAGTCTCCTGGTTTGTGTAGTATGGTTGAGGGTGAGGAAGAGTGAGGTAAGTCCCAACGCAGCCCTCTCAGAGAAGTGGGAACTCCAGATCTGCCTCCACCTCCCTCATCTCCAGACACCTGCACTCTAGGCTGGGATCGCTCAGCCCTGGAGGAACCATCTCTGAAGTTAGGGGATACCTTCTACTGATGGTGCAGGTCAGAGGGAGCCTAGCCTATTTCCAAATTCTTTAGGCTCAAGACTGTGAAGATGAGCCTGGAAGGTCTCTTCTTCCATATTCTCCCCATCCTCATTTCCAACAACACACATGTGCACGTGCACATGCACACACACACAAAGTCAACACACGTGCATGCACACACGCACACATGCACACACTCACGGAGTCAACACACGTGTGCATGCCCACATGCACATACAGTCAACACATGTGAGGCCGGGTACGGTGGCTCACGTCTGTAATCCCAGCACTTTGGGAGGCCGAGACAGGCGGATCACGAAGTCAGGAGATCGAGACCATCCTGGACAACACGGTGAAACCCCGTCTCTACTAAAAATACAAAAAAAATTAGCCGGGCGTGGTGGCGGGCGCCTGTAGGCCCAGCTACTCAGGAGGCTGAGGCAGGAGAATGGCGTGAACCCGGGAGGCGGAGCTTGCAGTGAGCCGAGATCGCACCACTGCACTCCAGCCTGGGCAACAGAGCGAGACTCCGTCTTGAAAAAAAACAAAAACAAACAAAAAAACACGTGTGTATGCATACATGCACACATGCACGCACACGCGCACATACGCACACGAGTCAAGCCGCACCACTTCTGCTGCTGATTTTTGTTCTCCTTTGCAAACTTTGTAATAGGCCCCAGACCCCATCCAACCCCAGGACCACAGTTCTCCCTGGGGACTCCTCCATCCTCCCCTCCTCACCCACTCACATGTCATCACAGCAAAGGCAATGTCATCTCCCGGCTAGCTCTGGCCTTAGGAGGAAGTCACTCAGGAAAGCTCAGGCTGCTCCTCCAGTGACCTAGACCACTTGACCTTGGGTGTCAGCCTCTGCCTGGCCAGGAAGGCCAGTGAGAAGGGCCAGACCCCTTGCAGCCTCCAGGAGAGCAAGCCAGCCCTGGGAGTGAGTGGGAGGAGAAGAGGCAGGGGGAAGGGGATGCTTGCATTGACGTCTCTCCTGCTATCCTCCCCTCTCCCCCTGCAGAGCCCAATTGTGACCCAGTTCTTCCCCTCTGTGATGCTCTGGGGCTTCACAGTGATACTGCCTCTGATTGTCTACTTCTCCGCCTTCCTGGAGGCCCACTGGACCAGGTGACCTGGGGGCCTCCTCTCCTAGCCCTGTGGGTTCTGCAGCCTCTTCCCCTGCCTTAGCTTCCCCGCTAGCCTGGCGCTTGGGCCTCCCCTCTAGCCTAAGAAGGATGATTGATAAGGGATGATTTTGATACCTGAAACCATCCCCAAAGACCAACAGATGTTCTGTCTTTGGAAGGAGGTTCTGGGTTGTCTCTGGGCCCCTGGGATGCTGAGATAGAGCCACTGTCTAAGAGCGTGGGGCCAAAACCAAGCCCTCCTTGGGCTTCTCCCTCAGCCCCCAGCCATATCCTGAAAGCATGGAGCTGTAGGCATGAGCTAGGCAGTCCCAGGCATTCCACGCAGAAGGCATAGGAGGAAAGACTTGTGTGGGAATGTCAGTAGAATGCTGTGGCCACACAGAGGGGCCCACACACTCACTGTGACTGTCATCACATATGACCCACACCATGCCAACGTTTTACCCAATCAGGAGCTTTCCCATTTGTTAGCCTTGATGGTTCTATGGTGGCAGCTCACTGGGTAGAAAGTATTTGCCATGCCCTGGGCAGGTGGCAGTACTTTGGCTTGAAAGCTGCATGCATCTCAAAAGTTACTTTCCACACCAAAAGTTCCTACCATTCCACCAGGCAGCAGCCAAAAGGAGTGTCCTAAGGGAAATCCTTCCTGGCCTTTTCCTCTGGCCGAGAACAAGACTTACATTGATGACTGAAATTCTGCAGGGATTTTGAGTATTCTTGGTAATGTCTCTTTAACACAGAGACATCAACTATATGGCCGATCTGTGCCTTCCCATCCCTTCCTGTACCCAGCACAGACATCACTAGTTGATCATGCTGTTCTTTCCGGCTGCCCCCAGATGCAGCACAGCTCACAGTGGTATATGGAGATGGCATCAGTATGCACGATTAAACCAATTTCCCAGCCCAGATCTCTACTCTGCATATGTCTGTATTAGTCAGTTTTCACACTGCTGATAAAGACATACCCGAGACTGGACAATTTATAAAAGAAAGAGGTTTCATTGGACTCCGTATTAGTCCATTTGTACTCTGCTGATAAAGACATACCTGAGACTGGGTAATTAATATAGGAAAAAGGGTTTATTGGACTTACAGTTCCATGTGGCTGGGGAAGCCTCACAATCATGGCGGCAGGCAAGGAGGAGCAAGCACGTGTTACGTGGATGGCAGCAGACAAAGAGAGCTTAGGCAGGGAAACTCCTCCTTCTAATACCATCAGATCTCACAAGACTTATTTGCTATCATGAGAACAGCAAGGGAAAGACCCACCCCCCATAATTCAATCTTCTCCCAATGAGTCCCTCCCACAACACGTGGGAATTATGGGAGCTGCACGATGAGATTTGGGTGGGGACACAGAGTCAAACCATATCAGTGTTTCTCTTCCTCTCTATTACATAGTTAGGCCTTTGGTTCTTATTAGGCCATGTCCATTGATGAATATCTGTCTGTTTCCTTCTAGATCAAGTCAGAATCTGGTCATGGTGCACAAGTGCTACATCTTTCTGGTGTTCATGGTGGTCATTCTGCCCTCTATGGGACTGACCAGGTACCTTAATTCCAATTATCCCTCTTCTATTAGCCAGGCTGTCTTAGAGTTAAGACCTCCTCTTTCAGATACTGTAGACCTGCCCGTGGTTGCTGCAAACCCACTCCTCAAATGATAGCCCCGTGCCTGTCATGGGTGTAGCACGAGCCAGGCTTCCTGCAAACACTAACGTGTCAGCCGTGAGCTTGGCCCACATAGAGCTTATCATCTGGCTGGGGACACAGGTGTGCTTACCAGCTGCCTGACAGCCCCACATGGCAACAACACAGCCAAAGAGCAGTAGAAATTCAGAAGAGGGAGAGAGTACTATGAGAGAAGTGAGTGAATACTGTGAGAGAAATGTTTGCTCACAGTTTTGCAAACTGGCCCAGGTTGGCTGGAGAACGTGGCCTGGAGCTGAAAGGCCAAAGGGTTCAGGGCCAGGACAGCCCAGCACTAAGAAGGAAGAGGGGAAGTGTGGACTGGCCAGCTGGAATAAAGCAAGAGTCTTTCTTTGGAGACTGGGCAAGGGAGGATGGTTGAACCCTCAGCCTTAGCTCACAGGTTTGCTAACTAACAGACTTGCCTTGTTTTTGCTTCTAGTTTGGATGTCTTTCTCCGCTGGCTCTTTGACATCTACTATCTAGAGCAGGCCTCCATCAGGTTCCAGTGAGTACTCCCACATGTCCACCAGGGCTGCTGTGTATGCAAACTGGAGTGGGTATATGTGCTCTTCCCTGAGTCCACCACCTGAATTTGCTCACAGAAGTGTAGACAAATGCTTGTGAACACCCTCACTGGGCAGACTCGTTATCTTTCCTGTGCTGGGATCCCTCTGGCAATCTAGTTAAGCCCAGGGACCCCTTCTCAGAATGATATCTTTGAAATAACTGTATATTCGCAGGAAGTTGCCCCAAAACTGTATGGGGGTGGGTGTTCCATGAGCCCTTTATCCAGTTTCCCCCAATGGAAGCGTTGTGCATAACTATAGCGCAATATCAAAACCAGGAAATTGACACTGGTCCAATCCACAGCGCTTATTCTGATTCTGCCAGTTTTACATGTACTCTGAATGATGTCTTTATGTGCACAAAATACATGGATTACAAAGAAAACCGGTTATACTGAATTATAGTTATCAAGATATTTTAAAAATCAAAATTTTGACATAGTCTTTATAAACACGTCAATAACAAGATATTGCCTCCCCCCCTTTTTTTTTTTTTTTGAGACCAAGTCTCATTCTGTCACCCAGGCTAGAGTGCAGTGGCGCAATCTCGGCTCACTACAACCTCCACCTCTCGGGTTCAAGCCATTCTCCCACCTCAGCCTGCTGAGTAGCTGGGATTACAGGTGCATGCCACCATGCCCAGCTAATTTTTGTATTTTTAGTAGAGATGGGGTTTTACCATGTTGGCCAGGCTGGTCTCAAACTCCTGGCCTCAAGTGATCTGCCCGCCTCAACCTCCTAAAATGCTGGATTACAGGCTTGAGCCACCACGCCCAACCAATATTGCATTTTTTATATAAGAAAGCTAAAGTTACATTTTACTGTCTTAAAAACATCAGTATTAAAACTGATATTACTTATTGGAAGAAGAACATTAAACTAGGGGGGATCGTTGACAAAGCAACATGCAGACCATGTGGGACATTCTGCCAATTTCAATTTTTTTGTTTTAGTGGTAAGAAGTGTTGAGAATCCCAGTTTTCAAAGATATGTTGCAAATGACATGCAAACTTCCATAACTTGCTCTATAAGGCAAGGACCAGAATCCTTCAGGGTATTTTTTAGTAGAGATGAGGTTTCACCATGTTGGCTGGGCTAGTCTCAAACTCCTGACCTCAGGTGATCTGCCCACCTCAGCCTCCCAAAGTGCTGGGATTACAGGTGTGAGCCACCATGCCCTGCCATATTGCCCACATTCTTAATGCAAGAAACTGCTAAATTTCAGTTAGAGATTAGTGAAAATAAAGATGTTATTCTTTCCCATCCTAGTTTACAGACCCCCCAGAAACCCACTCATGGATTCTCCAGAGTCTTTGGACCTGGCTCAGACACCCTTGCTTTGGATCAAGTCAATGCAATCCCCTAACACACCCATGCTTTATGTGGTCCCTGCCCCTCCCTGCTCAGAGGACTGCTTGTTAACTTAATTGGGTTGGGGGAATATATATTATAGGAGAGAGGCAGAGAAAAAGAAAGAGAGCAAATGTTATTCTCCTTGTCTGTATCTGTATCTCCATCCTGACTCCCATTTCCTCTGCTGCTCTCCTCTCTCTCTTCCCTTTTAACATCTCTCCCTCTCCCCATGGCTTCTGTTGCTGCCTTCCCTCTCCCTCACTGCCCAGGTGTGTGTTCCTGCCAGACAACGGCGCCTTCTTTGTCAACTACGTGATCACGGCAGCTTTACTGGGCACAGGCATGGAGCTGCTGCGTCTGGGGTCACTCTTCTGCTACAGCACCCGCCTCTTCTTCTCTAGATCAGAGCCAGAGAGAGTCAACATCAGAAAGGTACAGGCTGGCCCTTTGCTGAGCACAGCCCTCAGTTTCCTTTGGGAGGGTGTCAGGGATAGAGCCTGCTAGAAGCACCAAGGGGGCTGAGGTGGGAGGGACGATGTGAATGGGTGGCGGTGGGGCACCTTGGTCTACAGGGTTGGAAAGGAGGCTGCCTCCAGGCCTGAGCTGCCAGCAGGCTGATGAGGAGCCACAGAAGTAGTGAAGCCAAGGGGACTGGGCCACCTCAGAGTGACGCCTGCCTTCTGCCCCAGAACCAGGCCATAGACTTCCAGTTTGGGCGCGAGTACGCGTGGATGATGAACGTGTTCAGCGTGGTGATGGCGTACAGCATCACTTGCCCCATCATTGTGCCTTTTGGTGAGTTATCTCCAAGGCATGCCCAAGGGCTGCACACCCGCAGATGGGGAGGAGGAATTGAGCCCCACAACATCAGTCCACCTCCTGAAGCATGAGGAGACCTGTTGGGGGGAGGTGTCAGGAACAGGGCCAAGCCGGGGGTACGGAGGAGCTGAGGTTGGATGGCTGCCGATGAGGGATGTTTGTTGAATGAATGCATGAGTGAATGACTCTTCACCTAGCTGAAAGAATCAGTTCTGGGGGCTCAAGGGAAGCTGCTGGCCCCGGAGGTCAGCACCACAGAGCTCCCCCAATCCATCCTGGGCTGTTCTGACTCTGACAGCCCTGGATCTGGCTTCTCAGGCCTATGGAGACACTGGAGCTGCAAAGGTCCAAACTCGAAGGGGCCACTGAATAAGTTTCCACCTTTGGCCCCCCAGGGCTGCTCTACCTGTGCATGAAGCACTTGACGGATCGCTATAACATGTACTACTCCTTCGCACCCACCAAACTGAATGAGCAGATCCACATGGCTGCCGTCTCCCAGGCCATCTTTGCGCCACTCTTGGGTCTGTTCTGGATGCTGTTCTTCTCTCTCCTGCGGTTAGGTAGGTACCGAGCCTGCCTGGAGACCCCACCTCTGCCTGCGCCACTGCTCTGCGAGTCCCTTAACACTGACCCTGTTCAGGAGAAAAGCAAGATACTGCTCGCCAGACCCGGCCACACCCAGTGACTTCTCTGGGCCTAAAGGGCCTGCATTAGAGTCTCAGCAGAGCTTCAAGGCTAAGAGGAGGCCCTGGGCCAACACGGTCCCCATGTGTGGATTTGGGTTTCCAGGGCTCAGGGCAGGAAACCTCATATTCCTTCTTTCTAAGTCCAGACGGGCAGGAAATAGAGTATCAGCTATTGGGTGGCTCAGTTCAGTTCCCATGACATTTCCTCTGGGATCCCATAAGATGCCTGGTTTTTTGTTTTGTTTTTTAATTTAATTTAATTTAATTAATTAATTAATTAATTTACTTATTTATTTTCTTTTTTGAGATGGAGCCTCGCTCTGTTGCCCAGGCTGGAGTGCAGTGGTCGGATCTCAGCTCACTGCAAGCTCCGCCTCCCAGGTTCACGTCATTCTCCTGCCTCAGCCTCCCGAGTAGCTGGGACTACAGGCACCCGCCACCTTGCCCGGCTAGTTTTTTTTAATTTTTAGTAGAGACGGGGTTTCACTGTGTTAGCCAGGATAGTCTCGATCTCCTGACCTCGTGATCCACCCGCCTCGGCCTCCCAAAGTGCTGGGATTACAGGCTTGAGGTACCGCGTCCGGCCTTAATTTTTTTTTTGAATCAGAATCTTGCTCTGTTGTCTAGGCTGAAGTGCAGTGGCGCGATCATGGCTCACTACAGCTTTGACTTCCTGGGCTCAAGCAATTCTGCCACTTCCCCAGTAGCTGGGACTACAGGCGTGAGCCATCATGACTGGCTAATTTTAATTTTGTAGAGATGAGGTCTCACTATGTTGCCCAGTCTGGTCTCGAATTCCTGGGCTCAAGCGATCTACCCGCCTAGGCCTCCCAAAGTGCTGGGATTGTAAGTGTGAGCCACCGGCGCCCAGTGGTAGATGCCTGACTTTATGAGTTGCCAAAAACCTGGAAGAGGAACCCGAGCCTGCAGTAGGGGCTAGCTTTTTCCTCACTCTTTAGCTATACACAGCTACTGTTCCTGCCCAGGGGAGCTCAGAGACACCCTCCCAGAAGCAGTCCCTGCAGGCCACAGATTAGAAATCCCTCAGCTTTCTCCCGTCAGAGGCACCTGTGCCCCCCAGCAACCCCCAGCCCCACTGCCCTTCCCTCAGACACTTGACCTTAACCTTCTCAGTGGTGGGAGAAGGGAAACGCGGTGTTTTGTTCCTTTTCTTTTTTTTTTTTTTTTTTTAGAGACAGAGTCTTGCTCTGTCGCCCAGGCTGTAGTACAGTGGCCTGATCTCGATCTACTGTAACCTCCACCTCCTGGGTTCAAGCTATTCTCCTGCCTCAGCCTCCTGAGTAGCTGGGACTACAGGCGCCCACCACCACGCCCCACTAATTTTTTGTATTTTAGTAGAGACAGGGTTTCACCATGTTGCCCAGGCTGGTCTCAAACTCCTGAGCTCAGGCAATCCGAGGTGGTGTTTTCCTTTCTTTCCCTGTCATGGTGGCATCTGTACGGTCGACTCTCAGTCATTTATGTGGTTTACCCATTTGCCGTCACCCCCAGTTGCTTATCCGGCTAACCTTTCCCTGCCACCTCAAAGACTTCATTTTTTTCCATAATGTTTTTTTCTAAGAATAAAGGACTGCATGTTTATTATCAAAAACAGAAAAAATACAAAGACCAACATGCAAATGACCCATCATCTCACCCAGAACCTGATGTCTCTTGTTCCCAGCCCCCACTTTCAGGCATGCGCTTTGGGCGCGGGATGGTAGAGAGGGAGCTGTTGGTCCATTGTTACTTCACAAAACTGCGATCGTCCATATTGTAACATTCAGTCCTGTACCCTGAGGTTTTGTACTGAACATGATGTTCTGAGCAATTCCCTAGGTTGTTAAAAGACTGAACACGTGGGTGCCTTTCAGCGGTTGCATGAAAGTCGACCAGTTTTAGTCAGTTCTCCACCATTGGATATTGAGGTTTGCCACTTTTTGCTACTATAAAAACACTGCAGTAAGCATCATTAAGCAGTGATTTTTGGCTGTAACGCATAATTAAAAAAATATTTACCTAGTTAGAAAACTGCTGCCATAAAAAAGGAACCAAATATTCCCAAATGCAATGTAGATGACTTTTACCTTCTAGATTCCCTCTCTGTGCCATCAGCACAGATAACTGAGCATGCTCACTTCAAAAGGGCTTGCAGGGAAAGGTGTAGGTCAAAGATGGTGTTGGGGGCACTGGCAGAAATGGTCACTCCAAGGTACTTCCCAGGGACCGTGGTGTTGGAGGTGACCAGCAGATCAGGAAGGACACATTTTTATGGGCACTGAAGTGGGTACTGAAGTCAATTAAAACATTTTTTCATGGACTCCTTAGATGCCAAATTCTAAACTGCTCAAATCAAACAGAACGAAGGGATGATGTTATTGTGTCAGACTCCTTGATGCCAGTTGTTATCAGAGGAGGACTGGCAAGGTCAAAGCCCTTGCAGTGGTGCTGTGACGGTCCCTGGGCATCTGCCAGTTGGGGTGGCATTTCAGCTGGCAGACTTCTGCCCATGGCCTTTCCTTCTCCTTGGCAGGTTCTCTCCATGCCATCACCATGTTTTCCCTGTCCACCCTCCTCATTGCCATGTTAATTGCCTTTGCTGGCATTTTTCTGGGGAAGCTTCGGATGGTTGCCGACTACGAGGTGAGTTGCCAGCCTGCCCCTCCTCCACTGGTTCTCCTGGTCCCTTGGGGGACACGGCTGTAGGATACCCTCCATGCCTGGGCTCCCATAGCACCACAGGACGAAAGGGTCTCGCCTTTCTCTCTGACCGTAGAGCGTGGAGCCCAGTGTGCATGCGTGCATGCCTTGCACTAGCTTAGGCTCTGGCCCCCATCCAGAAGACAGCTATCCTCTCCTTTTCTGCCCTCTGACACCTCCCAACTGCAAGCTGCTGGCCCCTCCTTCCTGTGATGTGGGTCCAGTGCAGTCACTGAGCTGTGAGCCTCCAAGGACTGGAAGTCAAGAGACAGGATGGAGCAAAGGAGGTTGGCGGGGGAGTTGATGATGATTCAAAAAAGGGGGGATTGTCATTTTCTCTCCTTTAAGACCCCAGGCTATTGAACTTGAGGCGGCCATGTTTGGAGGTGGCCCCTGCCCCACATGATTCCTTTGGTTATTGGCAGTGGGTCCAGCCTAATCATTAGGAGAAGGGAGCCAATCCATGCCCTTTTAGAGCCATGCCAACAACTGTGTGTTCTAGCTCAGCATTTCCCAGAATGGATATCTATCCTGGGGCACTGGAATGATTTCCAGTGGATCACAACATAATTTTTCATTTTTCATGGTTACGTATTTAACATTAACTTTCTGCTTATGGCAACTGAAATACAGTTTTCTGTTTATAAAAGTGAATCATTTCCTTTTTAAATGAATGTATATAAAGAAAAGAAAGCTGATTTTAAGGACTGACACCCTGCCGAGCCTGAGGAGGGACTCGGAGAAGGATCTCTTTGCTGCTGGTGTCTCTGTGTCCAGGGCTCTGGGCACAGGCGCCCACTGTCCTCTCTGCCCAGCCTTCCTTTTCCACGCCTGGCTGGAGCACCACACTAGTGAAGGGTCCTGTGAATGACCCCGCTGGCTCTGTCTTTCTAATACAGCAGCATTATGTGATTGGGTTGGCCAGGTGTCCATGCTAGAGAAGGAGGATGGCCAGGAACCTAGGCTGTGTTGGTGTAGGACACTTTCCAAATTAGAGGGGAAGCCCCAGGAGGAAAGACGACAGTGCTGAAGTCAAGACTTCTCTTGGAGTCAAAGCAGGCTTGTCTTTGAACTTCAATTCCAGCTCTGCTTACTTCCTCCCATAATAGCCCTTGGGAATAGAACATTCCAGAAGGGACTCCCTTGCATTCCAGCCCTCTCTCGGTCCCCCTGGGCCTCAGTCTTGCCAGACTGAAGGTCTGGAAAGACAGAAGATGAGTTGAGTTCCAAGGTGGCGAGAAGCCCAGGTGTGGGGTTGAAGCTCTCTGGGTGTGGGGGGAGGGGCAAAGAGCAGGCCTCCATCCTGTAACCCACCACCTCTCCCTGCTGCAGCCCGAGGAGGAGGAGATCCAGACGGTGTTTGACATGGAGCCAAGCAGCACCTCCTCCACGCCCACCTCCCTCGTGAGTCCTGAGTCCCAGGGACAGGTCGGGAGGGCGGTGCTTGCAGGGGTGGTCTACTCCAGTGGCATCGTGGGGGATGCCAGCATTTGCTGCCCACTCTGGGTACGGGGGAGGAGATAGGGGACCCCTGGGCTCCCTCCTCTAATGGAGCAGGACTTGGTCCAGGTCCAAATGCTGCCGTGGCCCTGGATGAAGAGTGAGAAAAAGAGAAGAGCCACCATGTACTCGTCATTGTCTAGAAGGCAACCAGAGAGGAAGTACTTGGTCAGGGAGGCCAAGACCACAGCGACCTCAGTCATGTAGACACAGGGGGGCCTGCTGAGGATTGGCCTCAGGACCAAAGGCTGCCCCTGAGGCACAGGGGCAGGCAGAGCGACACAGACAGAGCTTCAGGGAACTATTAGAAGTCTGCACTGCTGGTAAGGCAGGGACGCCGAATGAGCGAGCCTGTCTGCATGCAGAGAGGCTGGCTCAGAGTGCAGGGCCCGCAGGCTGGGTGCTGGCTGTCACACGGTGGCTCAGCCTGGAGGGGAATGGGCATGAGCACCCACCCACATCTCTGCCACAAATTCAGCTGCAGAGCCACCAATGAACGCACTGAGGTGGGTACTGGGGTCAGCCCGTGCCCCAAGGCCAGGGCTCCTGGGAGGAGCTCTGAAGAAGGGTGCCAGGCTGGCACTTGGCGAAAGCATCCCAGAGGAGGCAGCATCGAATCTGACCCCAGGAATGGGCATACGGGGTGCCAGGTGAAATAGGGTGTGGGGCAAGAGTTTTCAAGGAAGAGGAGCAGCCTGTGCAAAGGCCTGGAAGACAGACCAGAGCTTGGGGGACTCAAGACAGTTTTCGGCACAGTGGGAACACGGCGTGGGCGGCAGGGCCCTATGGGAGACAAGGCTTTCTTTAGTTGTGGGCAGAGCTGGGTGTGAGTGCACAGTGACACAAGCACAGACAAAACACCAGCAAATGGACAGAAGTCACTGGGGTGCCAGATTTGCCTCGCTTTGAAAAACCCCGTATACAGGCACAGATTATCTCTGAGCGGGGACAGGAGAGGGTGCTTCGGTCACGAAGAGACGACAAGGATTTCAAAGCCAGAAAGTCTCTCTTTTCTTGGGACCCTTCCGAAAGGACCCCTCTTGGAATATTGTTAGCAATCAGTTTTTGAAATCTTCTCATGAGCCTGGTGCTTTGCTGTTTTCGCTCTTAATCTTTTGATAAACCCACACAGTAGGGGTTTTCATCCCAAAATGGAGGCTCAGAAGTTCCATCAATATAGACTCCAGGGCACCAAGCAAGGAAGTGTCAGGACGAAGTTCGAACCAGGTCCACCTGACTCTAAAGCTTATGCTTTTAAAAAACACGACTAGGATTTATTTTTTAAATCCTGCCTTATTACAACAGGGCTATGTGAACATTGCACATCATTATAGGGGGAAAGGATAAGCAGAAATAAGAAAATAAAAAGTCCATATTCCCACCACCCAGAGATGACCACTGGTAGTGTATATTCTTCCAGATATTTATATACTATGTATCTCTTCCAGATAATTATGTATGATTTACATAGTTTTGCTAAAATGAAATAGTACTGCACATACTGTTTTATAACCTTTTTTTGTTGAGGGGGGACAGTCTTGCTGTGTTGCTCAGGCTGGAGTGAAGTGGCACCATCTTGGCTCACTGCAACCTCCGTCTCCCAGGTTAATGCGATTCTCCTGTCTCAGCCTCCCAAGTCGCTGGGATTACAGGCATACACCACCACACCTAGCTAATTTTGTATTTTTAGTAGAGACGGGGTTTTACCATGTTGGCCAGGCTGGTCTCGAACTCCTGACCTCAGCTGATCCACCTGCCTCGGCCTCCCAGAATGCTGGGATTACAGGCGTGAGCCACCGCACCTGGCTTATAACCTGCATTTTTAGTTAACAATCCCTTTCCATATATATCAATTTTTGATCTCTTTGAGCACCCAGCCCATATTCAAATTTCCCTAATTGTGCCAGAAGTATCTTTTAGAACTTGTCCAACCCAATATCAAATCTAGCATGATCAGGTTTTCATGTCCCTTTTATTTTAGCATAGTGCTTTTAAATGACTGGAGAGACCAAGCCAGCAGTCCTGCAGAATATTCCACCTGGATTTTTCTGGCTGTTCATGATGTCTTAAGACAGGTTCCCTGATCTCCTGTATTCCCTGAACACTGGAATTTAGATCTGATGGCTTGATAGATTCAAGTTCAACATGGGGCTAGAACACATTGCAGGTAGTGTTGCAATGTATACTCAAGATGTAACATCCTGTTAATTCCCATTCATTAATGATGCCATCATGACCCTCTAATTAGGGAAATGACAGAAGGATTTTTCCATGGTTCAGTTGACATTTTCCCCTTTATGACCAAAAGGTCATCTAGATGGTTTACCTGGGTGCCATGCAAATGTCTAGATTCTTCTGTAGGAAAACCATTCCTTCGACCAGGGCTGTTTGGTTTCACTGAAATAAACTCCTACGGGGAAGGTTTCATTCCATTCCCTAATTACCTGTTTTCAAAGTAAAGAGATGGTTTAAGAGCCACTTCAGAGGATGACAATTGCTCTTTTTCCTAGTATGTCCTGTGATTTTCTAGTCTGCTGCCGTCCCAGGCATGGGGATCATTCCTGGGTGTGACAGGTCATATGACCAAAGTCTCTGCTAGCAGTTCCACATCTTTTTCTTCTTTTTTTCTTTTTTCTTTCTTTTTTTTTTTTTTTTTTTGAGACAGAGTCTTGCTCTGTCGCCCAGGTTGGAGTACAGTGGCGCGGTCTTGGCTCACTGCAACCTCTGCCTCCCAGGTTCACGCCATTCTCCTGCCTCAGCCTCCCGAGTAGCTGGGACTACAGGTGCCGCCATCACGCCTGGTTAATTTTTTGTATTTTTAGTAGAGACGGGGTTTCACTGTGTTAGCCAGGATGGTCTTGATCTCCTGACCTCATGATCCACCCACCTCGGCCTCCCAAAGTGCTGGGATTACAGGCGTGAGCCACCGAGCCCGGCTGCAGTTCCACATCTTGAGGACAGGCCAACCAGTGACAGACCCCAGGGGTGTTCTGAATGTGCCGCTGAAGCTGTATTAGAAAGTACACTAGCTCAGGAAAGGGGGTCTCTCCGACCCCAGCTGAGGGGAGCCTCATGTCACCTTCCCTGGATGCGGCTTGACTTGGAACCAAGAGTGAATGGAACATGTTCTAAAGGAGCAGTGGACTAGGAGTGGGGAGTCCTGCCACTAAACCAGCCCTGGGAGCACCTGGATGCTCATTAAATGATCAAGAAAAATTAGGTAGGTGGGGCAGACAGGACCCAGGCTGCTGGGGAAGAAGGCAGGCTCCAAGGTTTGGAGGAGACAGAGGCGATGGGGGTGGGGCATGAGGGGAGAGGGTGTGCCCAGGGCCTTGCTCCGGACGTGACCTTGCTCCTGTCCCCTGTCTCTATCCCAAGCAGCTATATGTGGCCACCGTGCTGCAAGAACCGGAGTTGAACCTGACCCCCGCCTCCTCCCCAGCCAGGCACACCTATGGCACCATGAACAACCAGCCGGAAGAGGGAGAAGAAGAGAGTGGTCTGAGGGGCTTTGCAAGGGAGCTAGACTCGGCCCAGTTCCAGGAAGGGCTGGAACTGGAGGGCCAGAACCAGTACCACTGACTGGGACCTGAGGCCTCCACTGGCGACTTGTTGAGGAGCCAGGGGAGGGCCTGGCAAGGGGAGGCAGGAGGGTGGCCTGGACCTCCTCACTACCTCCTGCAGACTTTGAGAAGCCCCCAGTGGAGACATCTGCCACCCCAGCCATGGGCCATACGGGCGCCCTGACCTGCTGCTGCCCAGCTGGAACTGGGGGTAATCGGCAGTGCTGAGGGAACCTGGGAAGGGATGGAGGATACAGGGAAGCCCATGTCCTGAAAGAGGTGGCTGGAGCGCCAGCACAGAGACTGAACGCTGGGGTCCCTTCCTGGGACCAAGATGGAGAAGGTGTTCCTAAGGGAGGAGGCAGAAAGAGGCCGCCGAAGGCTCTCTGGGGTCATCACCACTCTGCATCAGCTGCCCTTCCAAGGAGCTTCTGCTGCTGCTCCTTCTCCCAGCCCCGGCCCATTCCTCCCCTGCAGTCTGAGGAGGCAAAGGTACGTGCACGGGGCACATTGACAGGACACAGAGGACCACCTCATCACGGGGTTCCCTGCATGGGGATCTGTAAACAGAAAGTTTCTGCACCCACCCGAGGAAGAACCAACTGAAAGCGCAGACCTGAGAAGAGGTAACTCAGCCCCTTCCTGCTCCTCTGCCCTCATCAGATGTCCCCAGGAGCAGCAGGGCAGAGGCCCTTCTCCTTTCTATTCTTACAAGGGTAGCTAGAGCGCGACCACTCAGGGCTCATCAAATGAGACTTGTGTGCATTTTTCAGAAGGAAACCTTGGTTAGTCCTTGCTGGGTAACACAAAGTGGGGTGAGACAGAGGCCGATTTCATGGAAGGGGGCTTTCTCCCTAAAACTCTGGGTGGTGGGAAACCAGCTATACCTCCCCAAGCCCCAGGGTCTAAAGAGAAGACCCCCCAAAGCCAAAGATGTGGCCACTTAAAAGAGTCTCCTGCCTCCTACCCAACTGAGTGCCTGGGCCCCCAGCTTGGTCAAGATGGGCAGTACATTAGGGTAAGAACCCCATGCTTCAAACTGAAGGACTGACCTTCACCTGAGTCCCAAGTAGGACCCTTCCTCCCTTCTCGGGACTGCCCCTGCACCCTGCCTTGAAGACCACCCAAGCGACCTCCAGTGTGGGCCTGGTCTAGACACTGCAGATGCTTCAATCATGATGTCACCCCAGGCCTGCCAGGGGTGGGGTGGAGGGGAGGGTCACGTGCTCCAGGGAGAAGCCCTTTCTGGAGAAGCAAGGCTGCCCTCCCAGGGCTGCCACCACCTGAGACCTGGGGGAGCTGAATTCCAAACAGTGATGGCGACATTCAGCACCTTTGCCATAGCTGGGGGGAACCGGCCTCTGCCTCTGGGATGGGCTCTCATTGGGACCACCATGTAGCCCAGCCAGGGAGGACATGAGAAGGACCAGTGGGGGCCTCAGTGAACCAGAACAAGCCAAGCTGAATGGGGTCTGTGTGCTCTCCAGGGCCCTCTTCAGCCCCCTCCTCCAAAGGTCTGGGTCCCTGCACCAACCTACTGAAGGTGGGCTCATCTCACCTGAGCACCTGCACCAGGCCCCAGTCACAGGGCTGCCCTGAACTCAGATCACCTAGGCCTTGTCCCTGCCCCACCTTTGCCCCATCCCAGCCCCAGACGCTCCAAGCTTCACCGCAGGTGAGAAATTGTGCTCGATGGGCAGAAACTGCTGCACCCCCAGAGTGTGGCCCACATTTTGGCATGGGGCTGTCTTTCCAGAGAGCTTGGGTTGGCTGGAGAGAGGCTGTCTTTCCCATTCCTTGTCCAGCTAGGAATAAGGGGGAAATGATCCTAGCCCAGCCCCTACACACCCAGGTCCCACAGGCCCCTCCCCACTGGCATTTCACCAACCAACAAGGGGAAAGGACACTGTTACAGCACAGCAGTCAGGCCCAGCAGGAGCTTGGCACATGGTGGGGAGGTGGCCAGCTCAGACCCTGCCCGACCTCATCATGTGTATTTGGTATATGGGGCGTGGGACATGCCAGAAGCTGGCCTGGGGTCTCTCCTTCACTGGACACAGCTTGCTGGAGCCTGCCCCCAGCCCCTGAAGCCCCTGCCAGACTGTGGAAGCCACATATGGGAAAGGTGCTGGCAGACAATGTGGCGGGATGGCTGGGGGCTTCTCCCTCTGAACCTGGGTCCAGTGTAGCCTGGCTCTGAGAGAAGGTGGTGAGCATGTGGAGAAGGAGAAGGTTCCATAGTCCACTCTTAGGGGAACCAGCAAAGCCTCATGGCAGTTGGCTCCATCTGGACCTCCCATGGTCACTGCAGGGCGGTGGAGTGGGGCATCCTTTAGCCTCCCCACCACCACATCCAGGCCCTCTCAGGCACCTCCTGCCTCAGCCCACACCTGCCTCGTCCATTGCCCCCCTCCCTCCACCTACTGCCATCCCACTCCTCCGCCAGCCACTTCCCAGCCGCCCCACCCCACTCCGTCCTCCAAATCACCCCCCAACTTAATCCTTTCTGGAAGGAGCTGCCGCCCGGGAACCGGTATTGCCTAGAGCCTCCAGGAGGGGCCCTCCTCAGGCCTCCAGTGGCCCCATGCCCGCCTGCCTGACCCTCCACTGCCCCGGAAGCAAAGTGCCTATCAGCAGCGTTGCGTCATCTGGGGCCCCCAGTGGGGTGGGGGGGTGTGGGCTAACCTTGGCCACCACCACTAAAGGAATGTGCCAGAATGCTGAACCTTCTTGTTAATGCTATGACCGTGCCTTGAATAAACAAGTCCTCCCAGCCTCTCCCGGCCCCTGCCTCTGCCTCTGCATCTGGGCCAGCCTGGCCTTGCTCCGCTGTGCAGTGGGGAGAACTTTCTGGTCCTTGAGCTACCCAGGAAGCCAGCAGAGTAGCCCCGAGAGGCAGTAGAAGTCCCTGGTGAGTGCTGAGCCCCATGAGTGGGCCCATGGGCTAGGCTAGCGGCCAGACTTCAAAACACACAGATTTCAGCTCAGGCCCCAGGAAGAGCGGCAGACAGGGCTCAGGTCTGCAAGAGGATGAGGGTGGGGGACTTCGGGGATGGGGGAGGCAGAGGAGAGGTTGGGTGGGGGAGAGGTTGGCACGAGGGAAGTGTGCGGCGCAGCCAGGTGGGATAAGAAACACCCGTTAGCAAAGGCTGTTACAGCTGTGGCAAGGAGACAACAGTTCCCTGCCCTGGGAGACACATCTCAGGGTCAGGAGACCCGTTCTGTCCCTCCCTCCAGCAGCTGCATCACCCAGGCTGGCCACCTCATCCAGACAGTAGGGCTGGGAGGACATGAGGCGGACTGTTCTGCTTCGTGACTGAGCAGAGCAGATTTGGGGGCAGAGGATGGGAATCTTGTGTGGGTGTTGGGTAGGGGGAGACTTCCTCCCATAGTGCTTCCTATGGGGACAGAGGATGACAGTCTCGGGGTGGCTGCCTAAGGACTGTTTCTCGCATCTCCCTTGCTGGGTCCTCTCCGCAAGCTTCCACAGTCCATCAGTGGCCATTGACTCAAAGTCCACCATGGTGTGGGCCTGGGCATGGGATCAAGACCTGTCCACTTGTCCCCTCTCCCCCTCAAAACAATTATTTTCCAAGTCAAGTCAGCCCTTGAAATCCACAAGGGCTGCTTCTCAGGAGAGAAGCCATGAAGACTCCCTGACTGGACGGGAGGGGCTGCGCCCTGCTGCGGCCTCTCATGGTCCCCTCCCAGGGGCCGGCAGCTCCAGGGTCCCCAGATGGCAGGCCTGGGACACTCTGTGGTTCAGCAGACCTGTCAGGGGCCTTTCTCAGGCAGAGACTGAGAAAGAGACAGAAAAAGAAGCTGAAGAGGGAGGGCGGTTGCCCCAGGGATGGAACGTCCTCCAGGGAGGTTAGCATTGGTCGATCCTCTCTCCACTCAGCAGGCAAGGAGGGACTGGAGGCCTGCAGGTGGATTTACTTGGGCTGGGGACGGGACTGGGGCAAGGCAAGAGGGAGCCCCAGGAGGTGGCGCCACTGGGCTGTGCCCAAGATAGGACTGGAGCACGTGACCGAGCGCTGTGCAGGGAGGAAGCAGCGGGGCCTGAGAGTGCCCCGTGCCTCTGCCCAGAAACCAAGCCTGGGGCCGCATGGGGCCCTGCCAGGGAAGCCTGGGGCAGCTCACTTCTGTCCTGAGGAACCTCCTTGCTGGCCGATTCCAGGTTTCTAGGTCTGCTCTATGGAAGGCCTTGGGGAGGCGAGGAGAGCCTGGTCTATGGGGAGACAGGTTCCTAGGCTTTCTCAACAGAGGCTGCTTTCAGAACATCTGCCAGGCCCTCGGCCTGGACAAGCGGCAGCCCGGCAGCTCTCAGCCTCAATTTCCAAGGTTCTCCATCTCAGCCACAAATGGGAGTCACTCTCAATATCCAGGCCCCATCCCTAAACAAACCACAATTTCTCGGGTGGGGCCCAGTACCCTGTATTTTACAAAAGTCCCCCAGGTGATTCCAGTGTGCAGGGAGGGGTGAGTGGATAAGGAAAATAGTCCCAGCCTCAGGCACCGCATGCCCTGGGTGGCCGCAGCATCTCACCATTGCCAGCTTAGAAATGACAACTCCCTAGCTCAGGTACGCTTCTGCCATCATTATCTTCTTTTGCAATAAGTATGACTACCGTGTGGGCCCGAGGGCCACACACCAGGTGTCAGGGGGCTTCTGGCTACCTTGTCACCTTCAGCGAGGGTTCGAAGACAGTCCCTCTTCCCTCCCCTCCAAACACAGAGCCCAAGTGGTTTCCATGACCGCCTGCCCATTTCTGTGCAATAGAACATGACAACTGCAGTCAACAAATAGGCTGACATAATGGGGTGTCAGGGAGAGACAAAGCTGGATAAGGGCGGGGGGTGCCTGGAGGCGGGGAGGGGATGCTTTGCACTAGGGGGGCCAGCACAAGCTCTGTGGGGGTGAGACATGAGAGCCAGCAAAGGGTCTGTGGGCACACATGCAGGGCCCAAAGAACCGGGCAGAGTGAGCGAGGGGAGGAGAGGGTGGGGCGAGGTTTGAGTGGGCAACGGGCTGTGCAGGCTACGCTGGGACTCCCAAGTGTCACTCATCACCCGAGAAACTCCGGGAGGATTCTGGGGAGGAGGATGACCCCCTTAGGTATTTGTTTTCCAGGTTTTTTTGTTGTGGTGGTGGTGGTGGTGGTAAAGTACACATAATCGTATTCACCCTCTTAACCATTGATGGGTTTTTTGTTTGTTTTTTTTTGTTGTTGTTGTTGAGACAGAGTCTTGCTCTGTTGCCCAGGCTGGAGTGCAATGGCATGATCTCATTGCACTGCAACCTCCGCTTCCCAGGTTCAAGCAATTCTCCTGCCTCAGCCTCCCGAGTAGCTGGGATTACAGGCACACGCCACCACCATTTTTGTATTTTTAGTAGAGACGGGGTTTCACCATATTGGCCAGGCTGGTCTCGAACTCCTGGCTTCAAGCAATCCACCCACCTTGGCCTCCCAAAGTGCTAGGATTACAGGCGTGAGCTACCGCACCCATCCACCATCTTAACCATTTGTAACTGTCCTGTTCAGTGGCATGAAATACATTCATAATGTGCAACCATCACCACCAGCCATCCTCCACAACTCTTTATCTTGCAAAACTGAGACTGTATACTCATAAACAATAATTCCTCATTCTCTCCTCCCCATCAGTCCCTGGCAACCACTCATGTAACCCTTGTGCTGAAATGGTCACTGTCACGAGGGTGGGACAAGTAGAAGCAGAAAGCCCAGTTGGGGACAGGTGTGGTGGTGCACACCTGTAATCCCAGCACTTTGGGAGGCTGAGGTGAGAGGATTACTTGGGGCCAGGAGCTTGAGACCAGCCTGGGCAACAAAGCAAGACCCTATCCCCACAAAAATTTTAAAAATTAGCTGGGGCATAGTGGCATGCACCTGGAGTCCCAGCTACTCGGGAGACTGAGGCAGGAGGATTCCTTGAACCCAGGAGTTCAAGGCTGCAGTGAGCAATGATCATGCCACCACACTTCAGCCTGGGCAACAGAGTGAGATCCTGTCTCAAAAAAAAAAAAAAAAAAAAAAAAAAAAGCCTAGTTGGGACTGTGTCGGAGGCATGCAGGAGAGAGAATATGGTAGCTTGCACCAGGATAGGGAGTGAATAAAGAAGCAGTTAAATTTGGAACACAGGTCAAGGATTCATGGATGATATTAGATGTGGGGTCTGAGGGAAAGCAGGAATGCAAGGATGACTCCCAGTTCTTTAGTGTGAAGAACTCAACAAACACTGATTTCTGAGGTGGAGAAAGCTGGGAAGAAAAAGGCCAAGGGAAACCCCAAGAGTTCCATCTTGAGTGTGTTCCGGTTGAGATGCCATGTGGGGATGTCAAGGAGGTGGCTGGATACAGGAGTCAGGCTGGAGGTGTTCATTTCAGTCATCAGCACCTGGGTGGTGATTAAAGCATGGGACTGGCTGAGACTTTGATGGGAGCAGGTGCAGGTGAGGAGGTCTGAGGGCTGAGCCAGCACAAAGATACAGGAGGAGAACCAGGCAAGGAAAACCAGGAGGGACTCAAAAAGGAAGGACGGCGTCCCCAGCTCTAACCACGCTTGAGAGTAAATGTGGCGTAAAGAGGAGTAAAGTCAAAAGATGCCACGAAGCAGCTTCAGCCAAGTGGAGAATGCTGGATAGACCATTAGACAAATGACCCGCTTCTCCCACACAGCAATGGTGAGGGGAAATGGCAAGAGGGGCTGGGCCAAAGTGAATGAGTGAAGAAACACAATCAAATGCAAAGTGTGCATCCTGAGTTGAACAAACCAACTGCAGAGAGACGTCTGGGAAATCTACATGTGGATGAATGTGGGCCATCAGGGAATTGGAATTAGGTGGTGATGAGGAGATACTGTTCGTCTTGTTAGATATATTGGTGGCGTGGGTTCATATGTGAAATAAAGTGCCAGCTAGAAATTCATATGGAATAATTTACAGGTAAAAGAACATGAAGTCTTGAATTTGCTTAAAAACTCTCCAGCAAAAACAAAAAAACACAAAAAATGGTGGTGGGGGGGTACAGTTGGGGTACACGGAGATGCCCTCATCTCTTGATTCTTGTGTATGTTAACATTTTTCCATAATAAAAAGTGTAAAACTAAAGGCATGACCAACTTTTTCAAGTGCCGCTGAGCAGGAGAGGAAGATAAGGACTAAGATGTGACCCTACATTTGGCAAGATGGGGGTGGTTGGTGACCTTGACTGTAGTAGATTGAAAGTAGGGACAAAGCCTGGTTGAAGCAGGTTTCCATCCTCCCATAAGAAGTGAGGAGATGGCCGGGCGCGGTGGCTCAAGCCTGTAATCCCAGCACTTTGGGAGGCCGAGACGGGCGGATCACGAGGTCAGGAGATCGAGACCATCCTGGCTAACACGGTGAAACCCCGTCTCTACTAAAAAATACAAAAAACTAGCCGGGCGAGGTGGCGGGCGCCTGTAGTCCCAGCTACTCGGGAGGCTGAGGCAGGAGAATGGCGTAAACCCGGGAGGCGGAGCTTGCAGTGAGCTGAGATCCGGCCACTGCACTCCAGCCTGGGCGGCAGAGCGAGACTCCGTCTCAAAAAAAAAAAAAAAAAAAAAAAAGTGAGGAGATGAAAATAGCAAGGAAAGACTACTCTTTAGAAGGGTTTTGCTATTGAAGGAAGTAAAGAACCAAAAGGGTAGCTGGAGAGGAAAGGAAGTGAGGGGCTGTTCTTTGTATAGGAGGGGAGATGTGAGCTGACAGAGGAGGGATGCAGGAGAGAGAGAGGG